TTGATATGGTTTTCCGAAATTGGATCAAAAACATCATAATAATAGATTCTTGACAGACAATATATTGAAATAGCTTCAGCTCTTATTGATATTGGTAGGTTTTGTATCATTGGTGTATATAATTGCCTATTAACAGCCTTAATTTTATCTTCCCAATTAATATGTTCTAATCCAATACCTAAATATGTTGGATTTTTCTCTTTTGATGATTCGAGAGGAAATATTCTTTCAGAATGTACCTCTTGTGCTTCCAGTTCATGTGTTATAGTTTCATTTAACAAGTCTATAATTGTACTCTTTTTTTTATTTATATGAAGTCCAGATACCTCACTAAATTCATCCAGAGTTTCCATGATTGTATTATCTTCATTTTGATCTTCACTAATGATGTTGAGATCATCAGCGTAAGCTGCAGTAGTCATATTAAAACTTGAGAATTTACCTTTTATCTCAACACCTTTTAATCTTTGATTTAATAATTGGATCAAAGGATCTAGGCATATAATAAAAATTAAAGGTGACAACGCGTTTCCTTGCCGAACACCCCTCTTCATGTCAAATTCCTCTGTAAAGTGATTATTTATCTCAACTTTTCCTTTTTGTTGGGTTGTAATAGCCATAATGAAATTAACTGCTTCTTGAGGGAATTCATAATATCTTAAAACTTGTAAAATATAATTCTGATCAATGCAATCAAAAGCTTTGCTAAAGTCGATTTTATGACAAAATAAATTTTCATTGGACTGATTTTCATTGTTGCCATTTGTTCTTTTATTATTTATCAATTGTAGGATTTGAGTTATACTGTCTTCTGATGTCCTACCTTGTACAAAACCTGATTGACTTATATGTATGAGCTCTCCTAGAAAATTATTAAATCTTTCTTGGTATACTGCCGAAATAAATCTTAAAACTGAATTACCGATACTTATTGGTCTATATTCATCAATTTGTTTTGGATTCTGGTTTTTAGGAATCAATTTAATGAAGTTATTTTTCATTGTATCCGGTAATATACCTTTATTCTTAATTTCATTAGCAACTTCAACAATTATGTCTTTCATATCTTCCCAATGTTCAGAAATGAATTTGTAATTAATATCTTCCAAACCTGGAACTGATCTTTTTTTGTTGTAGATTTTTAATGTCTTTTCCATTTCCTCTAAGTTAAAATCTTTTTTTAAATTCAACTTATTTTCAGCAGATAATTTCTTTATGTTGAGACATGTTGACAAGAAATCTTCAATCTTTCTATTCTGATTTAAAATAGAATTGTCTTTTTCTTGTGCAGAAAAGAATTTTTTATAATATGTATATCCTTCGTTCAATAATGTTTGATCCGAGTCCAGTGGAAGATTATTTTCCATTGAATGTAGATTTGACATGAATGTTTCATTTTTGCTTGAGTGCATTTTAAAGATACCATTTAGGATATCATATTCTTGATAAGGAATCTGATTAATATCTCTAGCTTTTATATTAAAGCTTTTATCTAAGATTAAATCTTGTAAATCTTGTTTATCATATGCATCAGTCTGACCTTTTTCATTTAGAATTTCATTTTGAATTTCTTTGATATCTTGAATCAATTTATTAAAATATTCATCATATGCCCAGATCGTATCTTGATGTTGATTCTTTTCTAAATCATATTTTTCACTCTTAATTTTTTTCATATCTAATAATTGCTTGAAAATTTGATTATTGAAAATATTATTGTTGATAAAGAATCTTGTTGGACCTTTGGTCAGATTATGATTCCTAGATTGGATTTGAATTGTAACAGAAATATGAGTACTCCATTCCTCTTTAATTCCTAAAGTGTATTTAATTTTTGGAGAGTTTTTTCCCATAACGGTGCTAGATATATATATCCGATCTAGTCTTCTAAAGGCAACATCCTTTGATATAATTTTTCTTGGGAAGTTGGTATTATGACATTTTTGTTTAGATATTTGTGAAGAATCCTTGATATTCAAAATTTTGATGATTTCTTTTAAGCTTTGTACATCCTTTGTATTATTTCGTTTTCGATTGAAATATTGAGGTTGTGGATAAATATCTGTTTTGTGATTGAGTATATTATTAAAATCACCAAGTAGAATGATGTTTACTTTTTCTAAAGGAATTGGAATTAAGTTTTGAATATTTTTGATTGTTTCTTCTAAGTTGGAATAAAATTGTAATTTTTTGGAAGTTTCAGAAGGTGAATAAATATTGATTATCAAATATGTGGTAATCTTGTTGTTGAGATTGGAATCTGTATTGTTGGAATTATCTTGTTTTGGATTGAATTGCTTGTGAAATTCTTCACTATGTTTAACTTGTATTAATAAATCATTTATATGATCTAAGTGATGCTCATGCATATTTGCATGTAATATATTTTTTTTTATTATTTTTATATTTTTATTGTCATTTAATATAATTTTAGCTTGTGAGTTTGCCTCACCAATGGTTAATAATGGTAATTCTGATTGGTTGTTATATTTGTCTTTGAAGCTTTCCCATATTTCAGGTGTTGATTGAGCTTCTTGTAAACCTTTAATAATCAGATTGTTTTGTGATTTTAATGCTGTGATACTTTGTTTATTGGGGAAAAGGATTTTGTTGATGATCTCACTAAATGAGTTTGTATTATTAAATTTTCTTTGAATATTATGTGTAGTGATATTGATATTGTTAATGTAATTATTTGTTGAAATATTTCTATTTTGACTCATTTTTATTTATGAATATATTAATTAAAAAATTGATGTATATCACTAGTTCTAATATTCATTTCTTCCTCTTGTAATTTTTCTTTACTTCTAGTCATCATTCGATGTCCTCCAGTAATAGATTTTGTTACCTTTTCCCTTGTTTCTGTTGCATTATTTGACTTTTTTAACTTAGTATCATTGTTTTCAAAATCATCATAACCATTATCTTCTTCAGCAGTATTGAACTCTTCTTCATCTGTAGTTTCTTCTTCTTCATCTTCACCAGTTTTTGAGAAAGTAGTGTGTAATGAATTTGTTTCAGCGTCTGAATTGCTTAAATTTAATTCATCTTGCAAATCATTTGTATTTAAATGAGCATCACTATGTGATCTTGTTGCTTCTTTATTTAAAACAGTAATTGTAGTATCCGCTTCTTCATTTTCTTTATCCATTTCTATTTCTCTTGTTTGAATTTCATTATCTGGATATTCTATATCTTCTCCATTCTTTTGTTTTTCAGTTTCTTTTTCAGTATTTGATTGATTGTTATGAATTGTAGGAATGTATGTATCAGTATTTGATCTATTTCCTTTATTTTTATCAATTTTTAACCTATAATTCTTTCTGAAAAACTTTCTATGTCTGTAACTTGATTTTTGTTTATGACATTTTTTTGCTGGATGTGATGTTGAGTTACAATTAAAACAACCAGTAATCTTCTGCCAACTGAAACCTTGCAAGTTGAGCTCCTGCTGAGTAGACGTAGACGGTAGTACGTACTAATATTACATTATCATATGGATTAAAAAGAACAGACCCCTGTCAGGTATAGAGCCAAGCTCATATTTCAAACATCAAACTGTTGTTCCCCTAAAATTGTTCAGACGGATTTAGGATATAGTGTGGGTACTAGAAGAGATGCTCGACCAGAAGCCCCATATTGCCTTAAATTCAGATATATGTGAAATGGAACTTAAGATAATTAATGTCTCTCTCAGAGCCTACAATCCATTATATAGCACATGTATAGCGAAATTTTCATATGAACGTTTCGTCTAGCTGAAAGTCATTAATTTACATATTTTAATATAAACATTGAAACTTTAAAACCCTTAACCAAGCTGGAGTTCAGTTAGCAGTATGCAGCACTATCACAACCCCAAGGTGGATGATAATTGAACTTTTTCTTGTTTGTTTTACAATCATTAACATTTTTGACTTTGCTGCAATAGAAAGAACAAAGTGAATTGGCGATATCTTTACCACGACTCTCATAATGTTTTTCACAAGATGCAACACTCTTACCAGTACATAATTTACCTTTATTGGCATCAAAGCAAAGGTAGTTTGATCCCGGACTATAACCTTCTTCTGTGAATGAATCAGTGGAATTATCAGCATTTGAATCTTCAACAACATCTGGAAGAGAATCTTGAGCAGTAGTAACCACTGGTGAGGCAATAATACCTGATAATAGTAAACCTTGAACCAAAACTGTTGATAATTTCATGGTATATCGTTGAAATTGTGATTTGAATATATGTGCGATGAAACTTCTGTATCTGAAGAATTGAATCAACATTAATTGTGAAGAACCGATCATTTATATATATCATTGTAATCAAATTGGGATCATTGAACTTCTGATTCAATTCAGATCTACTAGTTGTCCTGCCTTCTGCGTAGCCACGTATAGATCTTCTTTACCATGTATTATATCAACCTTCTAATGTAACCAAGCTCAATTGAGGTGTAATCGTCCATAAAATATGATATACCTCAGTAAAGTAATTCTGACATAATCGCAAATTCCGACGACGTTGATCTTTGGTGATACTCGCGCTGCGAAACCTACATATTCTTACTTGAGTCAGATTATTAGATAAACGAGTATCTATATTGCAAGAGCTAACTAGTCAGCTTCTATATTATTAGCAAGCCTTATATGACAACACCCATCAGAACTTGTCTAATATTAACTGATCTTTAAATACACGATCAACAAGTGAAGTCTGCATTTTCACAAGACCATTTTGGTTCGTAATTATATTTCTGCTTATTGAATCCACAATCTTCAGTTTTTTTCATTTTGGTACACCAGAAAGCACAAAAGCTAGGAGCTCCTTCAACACCAAGAGTTGGCATGGCTGATTGATATTTAACACATTTTTTGAAGCTTCCACCGTGACACAAATCTTTTTGATTTTGATGGAAACAAAATTTAACTGGACCAGGACGACCCATTCCTTCCAGAGAGATATCAGTTGAATTATTTGATTGTAAAGTGGTTTCATTAGAAGCAACTGGGTTCTCAGTAGCACCATTAGAAATTGGTGAAGCGAAGATACCTGAGAAGAATAATTCTGAAGCTAAGACTGGTGTTAATTTCATATTGATTATATTGATAATTGTAATTGAGATGATTGATTTGATACCAAAAAATAAGTTCCAAATTGTTCAAGAAATTGAGGAATAGTTTCCCTTTTTAAATACCAATTTAATGAAATCAAAGCGTATATATCTGATCTATCATTGAATATTTCTCAATACACATTCCCTATTCTGAATGCTCTATGAATAAAACTCAAGCCATTATAATGTCTTCCAGTGCGATGTACTCATGATATAATCGCAAAAGATTATGTATGATTAACCAAAAATGCCGGACGTGATTTATTATGAAAAGTTGAAATCCAATGAGCTAATGTAAATCAAGATCAATCAAGGCCAAACCTCTCTTTCATTACAAAATTATGCTTTTCAATAATCATACTTGCAGTAGAACCGAGAACTTTCATCTAGTAAAGCTTGATTTCATAACTCGAAACCAACAAAGCGTTTTTAATCAGCGAACAATCAAGGCTGGACCACTAAGATCACCGAATAACACGTACTTCAAAAGCCTACTTTATAATCAGACTTTAATCGTACAAATAATCTCAAACCATCTTTTAGTATACGTCAAATTGAACCAAAAATTGAAGATCTTGCGTTAAGAAACCTCCGTTAAATAGAGGTGTCTGGTAGAAATGAAACTCCCAATCTACTGACGTTTTACTTAATCAATGAATTCAATTATATAACAGATTAGTCATAATTAATATCGATTATATAATCAAGACTATACATAAGGTATAAGTATTCTTGAACTCTCTTGTAGATGGGAAAAATGTTTTAAGGCTAAGATTGATTCTATAAATTAATTGAACGACGTTCCCACAATCAATCTTTAATAATCTAGCTCATAACCAAAGGAAATAGCGTTCACGGTATATATAAACCTTCTTATTATTGCTTAATAACTTCAGTTAAAGATATAAGACGACGTCATATAGACATGTATCAGCAGCTTGGATATTAACTATATAATGAAAGCTACAAGATATATGATCATTCAATTGATGTGTATATATGTATATATTATATAGAAGAATTGAGTATAAAAACAATTGATTGAGCTCATATGTGATGTACCACATGATTTATGATTTTATCATCAACAATTTAACAATAGTCTTGGTCAGCACAAGCAAATTCTGGATGATAATTGAACTTTTTTTTGTTGGTTTTACAATCATTAATATTTTTGTTTTTGCTGCACCAGAAAGAACAATAACTAGTACCTTGTTTAGCATTACCAATCTTACTAGATGTGTACTTTGAAACGCAATTTTTGACATTACCACCAGCACAACGAACACTTTTATTGGCTTCAAAACAAAGTTTCTCATGCGATCCGTCAAGTCCTCCTTCAACTGTGAGGTTCCCACTAGTAGTGTTGTCCGCTTCGATGGTATCAGCTGGATAATTAGTTGGTTCAGAGACCGGTAAGGCAATAGCACCTGATAGTAAAAGTCCTTGAATCAAAGCTGTTGCTAGTTGCATGTTGAAAGTTAAGTAGCGTGAAGAGTGCTTGGTGTGAAGCTGATAGATACATGTCAAAGGATGAAAGACTTATATGTAAAGAATTCGTTCATGTTTTATATCTTTACACTATTTGTAATTTTCAAGTATATGGGCTTGTAAGTATCTGCAGTTCTTTTTGAGCATGCGTCACATCCAGATTTGATTTAATTATTTCCATACTTTCATTCTGATATAATCGGAAATATCTGATGTTCAATCTATGAAAGAGATGCAAAATGGCGATCAATCTCGAGTTCTTACAGAGAAAAGGGGATCCGAATTGGCTTCTCCTGGTGGGTTTTTTCTTCTTGTAGTCAGATTGTCAAGACTAGTGTTTGTGGTATTCAATCTGTTTTATTACGGCTTCATAGCACATGCAATGACTTATAGTAATAGCTGAATTTCTGCCTCTTATAATCAAATGATATGCAACGCACAGTTTGCGCTTACTATTACAAGATGATTCTATAAAATTAAACATGATCTATCCTTCGAACTCATGTTCATTGGAAATTTATCAGTTGCAAAGATGCATATAAAAGGGCTGATACCCCTGTCTTTCCCAAAATCGAGCTTTACAATTTTGGTTAATAGGATCAAATCAACTATAATATATACCATCACCACCAATATGAAGTTATCAACAATTTTCACACCAGCATTATTGCTTTCAGGTGTAATGGCCTCACCAATTGCATCTTCAGATTCTAATAATAATGATACATCTACAATTGATACTCAAGGTTTCAAAACTCCTTACCTTTGCTATGGCGCAGGTCAAAATCCTTACTGTCGTGATGGAAGTTATAGAAAATGTACTGAATTTTTTAGGGATCATACTGATTATGATAGTATTTATGGTGGTAAATTCTGTGGGTTTTGGTGTAATGAAATCAAAAATTCCAATGATTGTAAGAATTTAAAGAAATTATATGATTTCCATCCAAAGTTTGCTTGTGATAATGCACAATACTGTTAAAATTATGATACGTCTTGGAGACAATGAAATATATAATTTATACTTTTGATGTATATATAATAAATATATATAGTGATTCTTTTGATATAAGTTAATTTACAAAGGCGCTAATATACTCATTTCTAGTTTGGATCTGATTATTCGCTTATCTGCATATCTTACAATAATTATAATAAAGTGGTTGAAAAAAGTGAACTTATAATATAAACGTGTTTACTATGACCCTATGACCCTGTCAGCAATTTACTTCTATATTGAAGTCCTAAATATGTAAGTTTAATATATAGGTATTTCTAAAGCAATATCGTCTAGCAAGCTGTCAATAATATCTTCTCATAAAGAACCTCTTGTAGTTAGCAGTATGTAGCATCACGATCACAACTCCAATCTGGATGATAGTTGAATTTCTTCTTGTTTGTTTTACAATCATCAACATTCTTCATTTTGCTACACCAGAAAGAGCAGAAGCTAGTACCGTGTTCAGCATTACCCATAGAAGTAGACACCCACTTTGAAACACATTTCTTGACACTACCATCCTTACAAAGAACATTTTCATTAGCGTTAAAACAAAGTTTATATTTCGATGTAGCTTCTGTTGTGAACTTGTCTATGGAGTTATCAGCTTCAATGGTACTAACTGGTGAAATATTTGGATCAGAATTTGGTGATCCGCTAATAACTGATAGTAAAAGTCCTTGAATTAAACTTGTTGATAGTTTCATGATGATCTAGTAATGTAATTTTAGTTGATGTATAGCTAAGTTCTCTGATTTGAAACTGATAGAGAAAAATATATAGAACAGAATTGAAAAGCATTTTAATGATGAACTGTCTTATCTTTATATAGTTTTCAAATGCATGAATACAATTAGCTGGTATGTGTGCTCTTTTTAGCCATATGTCACGGATCCAGATTTTCATATGATTGTTCTTCCCGTTTGAAAAATTAATATATAATTTGTGATTTGCTAGCCTTTATTCTGATATAATCGGAACTTTTGAAATGCATAATTAGCAGATCAAAACTATAGAAATATTGCAGCTGCTATCTTCAGAATATGAAAATTGATATGCAATTTCAATACTTGATTAAAAAATACTATCCTTCAAAACTCGTGATCATTTATATAGTTTTATCTTTTGCACTAAAAAGGCTAAACTGATGACCAAGCTTGTATGAGCAGCTTTGAAATGGTAAACACGCCATATTTGATATATATAAAATTGTGTATATCAAGTTCTTGATCATTAGCTTTAATATATAGAAGCATTTCAGGAGCCAGTTTTCATTTTCAGCCTTTAAGTAGTCATAAGCACTCAGATTGCTAACGCGATTTCAGATATAATAGATCATTGTTTGGTTATAATACAACACTAATTTGTAATTTTCGACAATATTTGAATATATAATCAGTAATTGATCGCCTCTATAAGATATTGGTAATATTAGTAGATAGAGCTCCAATCGAATATCTAAATCATCAACTCTACAACGCTTGGTTATATAGTGTGCATCACGTAATGTCTAGTATTAATTAATCATGTATATTGATAGATCTCTACCATGATATACCAATTGATGAGATTTAACAATATTTTTGTTCATCACAACCCCAAGGTGGTGCATAGTTGAATTTCTTCTTGTTTGTTTTACAATCATCAGCATTTTTAATTTTGCTGCAGTAGAAAGAACAAAGATTATTAGCATCATATTCACTGAAGTGATTTTTTTCACCCTTATACCATTCAACGCAAGCTTTAAGACTATGTTTATAACAATGATGACCTTTATTTTCATCGTAGCAAAATTTATCTGTTTTCTTTTTACCAGCAGCTACTACATCAGTATAATTATGAGGATATGATGGACCTTCAAAGTCTTCTGGAACAGCGTCTGTAATAGCAATTGGTGAAGCAATGATACCTGATAATAATAAGCCTTGGATTATAAGTGATGATAATTGCATGATTGTGTTGATTTTATCAAATCTGATTATGACTGATATAATTAGAGCACTGAGTAACGGAGATTGAAAGACAAACATCCATTTATATAGCGTTTTGAAGAAAAACATTTGCAATGAATAGGGGTATGAATAATGAAACTCACAGGGTCGATTAGCATATTCAATTGATTCTGGTGTCATTTGTTAATATGAATACGATCCTCCAGTATGATATAATGTAATCGGAAAGTCGGAAAGTATGGTATATCAATGTTTAATGCTGTAGATCAAGATCGAAGGACATTTGGTAATCAATTCAAAACTTCAATTATTAGTCGATTGAAGTAATCAGACTCTCTCATACGTGATCAATATTATTTCTGCAAGCAGTTGTCAGTAATTATCAATAAAGTGAACTAAATTTTGCTCTCGGGTTGATTTCTAACATTGATCAAGAAAATTCGCGCTTTCCGGTTTTCACACGTCGTTGATTTAAAATTTGAATCAACTCTGAAGAAATTTTACACAACTAATTACTCTGATCAAAATATTAAACTGCGTAAGTCCAGGAAATAATTATAGACGTGCTTTTTGTTTGTTGTTTGTACTCACGATACTCTTGGAAGTGTGTGGCTATTCCTTTATAGCAACTTATGATTTTTGAGAATGCTGCATCTCCTAACTAGTATGGTCAATTCCAGTTCGAAGTGGGAAGCACATATTCTGGGTACACAAACTAATCAGAAAAATTGTTGATTATTCAGTTACCTAAAAGTCCCGGATATGTTATCCTTCATTATCAACACTCATAATGATCATTTGATTTTATAAAAGTAGGTTTGATTAAGTTTACAAGTACTCTTTATAATATACAATTGATTGAAATTTTTTTGAATATATTCAGATTGTAGTCGTTATGGGTTTGAGTATATACAAATTCTTTATAGGAATCCAGTTATTAAACTGAATATTCAAATCTGCATGTTACATATAGTATATATAGCAAGATATAATATAATCTACTCGACTTTTTTATTAGTATATTGATATAGTATATTGATATAAATTGTTTAAAGCTAATCAAATATTTGCCAAATATATTAGTTAAGTTCTCTTGTATATATATCTTATTGCACTGAATACACCAAAATTAACAATCAAATGACATATCATCTTTACAAGTCCAATCTTTTGGCTCGTAATTATATAATTGCCTATTGAATCCACAATCCTCAGTATTTTTCATTTTGGTACACCAGAAACCACAAAAGTTAGCAGCTTTCTTTGGTCCCTTTTCTGGTGTATGTGATTTAATACATTTACTGCGGTTTCTCCCAGGACAAAAGCTTTTTTGATGATGACTAAAACATAATTTCTTGAATCCTTCAATGGAAACATCAGTTGAGTTGTCTGAAGGAATCATGGTTTCATTAGAATTGGAAGCAGCAGAGCTTTCAGCAGCACCAGAAGCAGCAACTGGTGAAGCAATAATACCAGAGAAGAATAATCCTGAAGCTAAGATTGATGATAATTTCATATTGTAATGATTATGATTGTAATTGTTTTAATTGTTTTGATACCGAGTATAATAAATTTCAAAGTATTCAAAGAAACAAGGAATAGCTTCCCTTTAAATACTTGAACAATGAAATCATAGTATATACCTGATTTACCCTCATACCGCCATGATCTACTATTGTCTAAGGCATATGTTTTAATGTCTTGTAATAAGATGTTCTGATATAATCGCAAACTCTTATTCAATAAGTTAGTTCACCAAAACCAAACTATTAATTATGGAAATCAGTTGATAAATTATTAACTTTAAACCCAAATAAATGTAGATCAATATGAACAATGTTTGAACTTTCTCCTTTTTATTACAATCATGCTCGATCATTCAGGCTCTTCTCTTATTTACAGGAAGACTCTCATCAAGTAAAGCTATGGTTCATGTCTTAACAACTGTGCTTATATCTTTCTAGCAGCTTGCGAAATATGATAACGTCAGAGATTTGTTCCAGTAAAAGATTCAAGAGCACTTTTTCATGAAGTCACAATTCAATATCAACAACTTACAAGGCGTCTCTAATCAACAAACAATCAAGGCTGGACCCTGGACCCTGGTGCACTAAGATCACTGAAAATCATGAGCTTCATGGACCGATTTGGTAATCGGAATTCCTTAACCACCTGCTTGCAACTTCAGTGTATGCCAAATAAAACCAAACAATATTGGAAGATCTTGTTAAGAAACCCTAAGGGATTTTCATTAATTTCCCGTATAGTTAAGCTACGACTTTTGATGCCATAACTTCTCATCAACCTCAATGGTTTAGAAGTAAGAGACTATCACAATCAGAAAAGATATCGCATTGTACTAGTCAAGTGCTCAAATGATTTTATAAAAGTAGGTTTGATCAAGCTTACAAGTCTTCTTTACGAATATACAATTGATTGAAGATTTTTTTGAATAGATACTCAGTAAAGTAATTCAATTAAACTAGACGTTCGATCAATCAGGATCATATGTACGAGGTTAATCAAGCTTATAAACATTCAAATATGTTTCATATATTATATAGTACTCTGCTAGCTGGATATTAAAATTTGTAAACTTTTCAACAATAAATTTGCCCATCACACGCCCAATTTGGATGATACTTAGCTCTGTATTTGCCTTCTTTACAATCTTTAGGTGTTTTAACTTTACCACAATAAAACTTGCACATCTGAACAGCCCAGTTATTATCATCTTTTTTTTGTTTGTCATAAAGAGAACCTAAATAATGTTTAACACAATTTTTGACATTCTTTTTAGCGTAATTGCTAGTTGGACACTCGCTACTGTTAGCATCAAAACAAAGCTTTATAGCTGGCTGACGGCCTTCAATTGTAAGAGTATCATTAAAATAATCAGGGCTAGCAATAGGTGAGGCAATGATTCCTGAAATGATTCCTGAAAGAAGCAAACCTTGAAGGAAAATTGATGATACTTTCATATAGTGATGTTGACTATTCAATGAGGTGATTGAAATGATAATTCTGATGAAAATCGAATGATAACCCATGCAGAGCTTTTGAGTAAGAATAAGAAATAGTTGTCTCTTATATAGTCACCAAGTATTTTGTATCAAGGTTCGACGTCGTAAATTATCAAACCCTTGTTATCTAACGCAATTATTTGAGGTGTATGCACTCGTATATCAGTTCTGATATAATCGGAAACCTTTGCAGTACATTGTAAATCAATAGTGAAATGGAAAAAAAGCCAAAACATCAATCTAAGCTGAAGGAGTTATTAAACCCTGAGTTCCAACCCTCACCATGTGGTATGCTTGATGTAGCCCTATCTCAGAATCCTTCATTGTTTCATTAATCGTTGCCTTCAAAAGTCGAAAGCTGTTGAAAACTCAAGAATTAATTTGATAGAATTCGCGGGCTCAAGTATAGTTATTTTACTTCTACACCAAAATCATTATAGATGTACTGAACAATATATTTCAAAATCTGAATGCATATATTTCACAAAATAACCAGATACTAAACAACTCCAATAAACTACAAGACCATTAACAATATTGTATATCATCACAAGCCCATTTTGGATGGTAATTAGCTTTATATTTGCTTTGTTTACATTGAGTAGCTGATCTAATTTTGCTGCAATAAAATCTGCAAAGCCTAGTGGCTTCTTCAACACCAGATTTTTCTCCTTTATAGTTAACAGCCCGAATTTCGACACATTTTTTGACACTACCTTGACAAACATTTTTCTTAGAGTTAGCATTAAAACAAAGGTTTCCTACACCTCCAGCTTCAATGTTAAATGAATCAGTGGAATTATCTGACGACAATAACGTAGAGTTTTCAGCATTAATCAAACTTTCTGTAGCATCTGGAAAAGCAGTTGGTAAAGCAATAACACTTAATGATAATAAACCTTGAACGATAATGGCTGATAACTTCATATTGAATTAGTAGTTAATTTGATGTTGATTGGGAACACTTCAAACGGTTTGATACTAGTGATTACCTATAACGCCAAATTTTATCTTAATAATGAATAGAAGGTTTCATGCTCTATTTATATTTGAACCTTTTGAGATTTCATTTCATTTTAAATCCTGATGTAATCGGATTACCTTATTAATGCAGGGTACATCAATATACGAGCTATAGTACTATAGTACCTTGAAAGCTGTTTCTTGTAACTTGTGATACCTCAGACATCCGATTAGTTTTGATTTAATAATTGGGTTACTTCATAGAAATGTGACAAATGCTTGGACATGGTTTCATCTCCCAGTTGTATAGAGCTGCCTGATATAATTGTGTGGTGGTGATACCGTTGGATATTACAATGATAATTCATATGAAGTAAAACGAATATTCTGAACTTCGAAGTCTTTTAAATAAGTTAGCTAAAAACCATTTAATTATTCAAGATTATGATCCGTATATTCGATCTTTATTATATATATTATAGACGTTAGACCTTTATGGCTGGAACAGCTGGAACACATCGAGCAGTAAACTCATAATATTCAGCAATATTTTTGATCATCGCAAGCCCAAGTTGGGTGAAAATTAGCTTTAACTTTGCTTTGTTTACATTGAGTAGGATTTTTAATTTCACTGCAATAAAACTTACAAAACTTGGTAGTATACTCAACTAAGCCTTTATCATTACGACCACCAAGACGAAAAAAGCGACAGTTTTGGACGTTACCAGAGCATATATCACTCTTGTTAGCGTCAAAACAAAGCTTTGTAGCTTGTGATGCACCTTCAATTGTAGGATTATCATTGAAACTATTAGAATCAGCAACTGGTGAAGCCATTATGCCTGATAACAGTAAACCTTGAATGAAAATTGATGATAACTTCATGTTGATGTTGATAATCCTCTAAATTTTGATTCACTGATCTGATTTAGCTGATACTGAAGATGACAATTGAATGATAAACCAATGATTTAGGATAACATTAAGGAGCAGCCCCTTCTTATATAGTGCTAATAAGGCGTATTTGAGTAATCGTGTATTATCAAACATCATTCCTAATTGATTATAATTTGATATGGTAATCGGAAAATTTCGCAGGACATTGTAGATCAATACTAGTACTAGTCTAAATCAACCAGTAAGTTGATCCAATAATGGGTACTTGACCACGATCTCAAATCAATTACTTTCAGACCCAAATTAACCAATGGTTCCGTTAATTGTTGAATTGCTTGAAAGTTGAAAGATTTGATAGAATTCGCGGGTTCATGAGGAATATATAGAATTTTACACCATCATTGTAAATTTACTGAACATATGTTCATGTTTTGAATCCTATTTCACAACTTGACCATATGATACACGCGAAGTGTAGCTGATATGAGGGATTAAAAGATGCAATAAAGAGCAAGACCATTAATAGCAATATTGTTGTTTGATGCTTGATCTTCTCAAAATGATAAAATTTTGTTGTCTTTTTATATAGCTTTCAAATTATTGTGATTTCGACTCAATCATATATATAATCACAAATATATCGTTCATCGTTTCCTTATATGCATGCGTGGTACATCCATACAAAAAACAAAATTTGATTAAACATCGAAGATGCATACATGGTGAATCATGAATCCTTAGAGAGCGGATTATTTTTGATTTGATAATCGAATTATCTTATATTTCTTAATGAAGAACACTTTTCTCTAAGATTCTGTGTCATATCTTGTATTGAATAAGCTGTTAATTAATCAATATCTAAGTAGAAGTGGAGCTTCTCTACATGAGTGGTTAGAAATCTATCTATTCACTAAAATAATTTTATTATATCAATTTATGTGGAAATTCAACAGGTCAAGAAATCATAAAAGATCTGGACATTGATTGATATTATTGGTCATCGGAACAAAGCAAAATTATCTAACAATAGTTTGCTTTACCACAAGCAAAATCTGGATGATAATCAAATTTCTTCTTGTTAGTTCTGCAATCATCAATATTTTTAACTTTGCTGCACCAAAATTTACAATAATTGTAAGCATTCTCAGGTATACCATGTCCAGGGCGAATACTTGCATTCAATTTTGAGACACATTTTTCATAATTATTACCATAACAGAAAACACTCTTGTTAGCATCAAAACAAAGCTTTGTACCTGGTGAACCACCTTCAACTGCAACAGTATCATTGGAATTTTTAGAATCAGCAATTGGTGAAGCCATAATACCTGATAATAGCAGACCTTGAACGAAAACTGACGACAATTTCATCTTTATGTTGATAAATCTGTTGAATATTCACTGATCTGATTTATTTGAGACTGGGTGATGATTGATTGATAAACCAGAAATTTATGGTGAAGTATCAGGAAACCTTTGTCTCTTATATAATTATCAAGTATTTTTGAAGCGACAATAATTTTCAAAACGTAGTTCCTTCACCTAAGTTTTTGATGTGATATATCGATCATCCGTTATGATATAATCGGAAACTTTTGCAGCACATGGTTGATCAATAATAATCAATTTCATCCAACGGGTGAGCTCAAGGTTAGCAGATGTTTGATAATGATGTTCTCAAATGAAGGACATTCAAATCTAAATCAGCTTGTCTGGTCCTTGAATATAAGCAAATTCCAATGACAAAAAACATTGATCAAAAACTCTATAGCCTCTGTAGCCCCTGTAGGATAACAACCTTAGATTTTTAATGCCTTCTTTGAATCATGGAATGCACACACACAAGAGCTGTATCTCATAGTATGTCTGGACGTAATCATTGCCGGGAATCATTTATGGTTTCATTAATTGTAGCTACCATTGTGAAGAAACTAAAAAACTTTCAAAGATCTCGACTATGATCAAGTTTCAACTTCATAGAAAAATTTAATACTTGATATCATTCGCGGGTTCAGTATTAGGATACTTATTTCAATTATTTTACAATATCGAAATCATTTGAAGGTACTTGACATATATTTCACATCATGACTCTTATTTAATAGTTTACCTGATAATATACACGAAATGTAATTGAAACAATCGACGATGAACTGCAATAAAGTACAGGGCCATTATTTAACAATATTTTGCATCATCACAAGCAAAATCTGGATGATAATCTGCTTTATATTTGCATTGTTTGCATTGAGTAGGAGTTTTGATTTCACTGCACCAGAATTTACATGTTTGAGTGGCTTCTTTCTTATCCATACCAGTTCTGAGCTTATAAGCGGAAATACAATCATTCACATTATGATTACCCAAACAAAATGGGCTCTTATTAGCGTTAAAACAAAGTTTTGGTGCACCATTACCTTCAGCTTTGATGATATCACTAGTGGAGTTGTTGGATTCCAAAGAAGAATCTTCAGCAGAAATTGGTGAAGAGATAACACCAGCTAATAATAAACCTTCTAAGAAAATTGTGGATAGTTTCATTGTGATATTGATCTCGATGTTGTTTGGTTATTGATTCTTTGTAATTAGTTATTTTTCAAATATTATCTTTTCATTGAACCATTGACAAACACAGAGAGTGATTTTCTAAGATATTTATACTCACCCAATGCTAGATATTGAAATATACTGCAATCAGACTTTGATCATTCAACCTATTTCTTGTCATTAATTGTCGAATAATGGGATTCACCATTTGACCTTATATAATCGGAAATTCCGTCGATCAACAGAATTGGATTATTAGCAAGGATTTTAATTCTCGATAGAAATAATTTAAGTATCGATTTATTCCAAAAATTCATGATCATAAGTACTTGGGAGTTTGTACATGATTTCGATCATTACCGCTTCTGATAAGCATCTGGAAGATCCTATTCCCATGTCACATCGGACATAGTAGTATCTCATAAAATTTTACAAAATGTAATAATTAGTTGGCTAATTATAAAATAAATATTCCAAAATGTACATCGTATATTACATATTAAATACACTAAATTGTTTCTAATAAAATTACTTGATATGCACCAGGTAATTATATAGCTTATAAAAGTTTCTCAGCAGTATTGTGTTTTATCACAAGCAAAATTTGGATGGTAATTAAACTTCTTCTTATTAGTCTTACACTCATTAGGACTCTTAATTTTACTGCACCAGAAGTTACAAAAGTTTTCAACTGGCTTTTTACCGATGTCTGTTTGGGATCCATATACCTCATAACACTTTTTAGCATTCCCACCAACACAATATTCACTTTTATTAGCATCAAAACATAGTTTAGGACCTGCATTTGCTGGAAGAGCAATGATACCTGAAAATAATAGACCTTCAATTACTAATGTTGATAGTTTCATATTGATACTATATTAACGATCTGATGATTAAATTGGTTTAATGATAATGAACCTGACCTTCAATATTAGTAGTAAAAAAATTGAGTTAAGCGGATTTTGTCTGAAATTTATATTAATTCGATTCGAAGCATACGGGTATGAATTTTCAATCTTGCAGGAATTAGGATCTGCTGTTATGATTGAAGATTCTTTTTTGATGTGTAAACGATATCGTGTAATCTGACGTTCTGATATACATCGCAAACGTTAATTGATCCGCTTGAAAATCACTACCTTCATGAATCATGAAGATCCAAGATTTAACCGTCTGCACCTTTATGTACACATTACTGCGTATGATGTATGATGTGAAATCATGAATATTTCGATCCTCGAATCTCGAAGCATTGATGAACAACAACATAAAGTATACAGACCCGCTCCAATTTGAGGTTCAAACTTCATCATATGTACATATTATTGAGTATGTACCTGTGTACCCTCATTTTATTCAAGATATAAGATACTACAATCAATTGAAAAAAGATTCAACCTTTGTTATCTGACTGTGTATACTATACAAAAAGACCCTTAATTGTAGCTCTTTAAAAACACAACTCCCTAATACATGGTAAAATTTTGACCCTGACTCATCTTTCATTACCAGAGGGAACATACAAGACCTGTAATAAGTCATTTTTTTAACAATATTTAGCGTCTTTGTCACAGCTGAATTTTGGATGGAAATCAAATTTTTTCTTTAGACTTTTACATTCATCAACAGTTTTGATTTTGCTGCACCAGAAAGAACATTGACTTTTAGCATCTTTTGGACTGACACCAGGACGACTAAGAAAAGCATAGCAGGCTCTGTAGCTATTACCATGGCAGAAAACACTCTTATTGGCATCAAAGCAAAGTGGAAGTTTTTCACTCCCTGCCGCATTGATATCAGTAGAATTATCAGTGGAAGTAAAAGAGCTTTCTGTAACATCTGAAGAAGCAGCAATTGGAGAAGCAATGATACCTGATAATAAAAATCCTGAAGCTAAGATAGATGATAATTTCATATTGATGATTATTATTGAATTGTTCTAATTGTTTTGATACTTATATAGTATAAAATCTAATAAAATTTTGAAGTGTTCGAAAAACACGAGGAATAGTTACCCTTTAAATATATATAATTTTAGATTCTTGATGTACCATGCTATCTTCTTATAATTTCTTCTTTGTTGGATCTTCTATATCAAATTAAAGGATTGTACTGTCTTCCATATGATGTTCTGATATAATCGCAAAAGCTAGTATATTATTCACCAAAAAAGACTAAATCTGAAAATCAATTGGTAGAATATAAGGCGTCGATCAATATCAATAATGTTAGCTGACCCCTTTTCTTATTGCAATCATTTTCGATCTTTGGGCCTCTCTTGTTTGCACAATTCTCGATCAAAGCTTGGAATGTCATTAACAATCAGGAATATACTTTAAAGCACCTTTCGAAATATAATACCGCCTATGAATACTGAAAGATTTTGCACAAACTCTTAAACAAAGTCCCACAGGAATTAAAACATACTTTATCAGCGAACAATCAAAGCTGGAGCACAAAGATCACCGAATAGCATGAGCTTTGAGAGCCGATTTGATAATCGGATTTCCTCGTATAAGTAATGACTCTGGTCAGTTTTAATTAAATACTCTTTAGCAGTTGGTCCATGTGCACAACAGTATAGAACAGATAAACAGAACACCTTTTTGATCAATTCGACTTCAGCTGCTTTCCCTTTTATAAATTGTGTGAGAAAAAAAGTTAAGGAAATCTCCAATTTTGAATATTAATGATCCGGAATAACAAGGAGTTTTACGTAATCTCGGTGAAAAATCAAAAGGCCGAAATTACAAACTTTCAGCCCTTTGTATCTCTGAAATTTTATACTAAAATATATGGTTTTTAATTTTAAATAGTAATTAAATGATGTCAGGGTATATGATAGATATAATTATAAGCCGATTTGAAGGATCTAAATTTTTGAAATTTTTGCTTTTTAAGAGAAAGATCAACCTTAAAAACTTTATATTTACTTTAAAATTAAAGTATAGTAAAACAATCCAAAATTTTAATTTTTTTTACAATTATATTTCATTCTCTATTAATATACATTATTTTATTATAATTATATTATTATAAATTATATAATGATATTGTGTATGGATTAAAATCAATCAAAACTTTGCATTTAATTTTAGAGTGATGTCATGATTACATAAGAGATTAGTCAATAATATATACGGGTATATACGCACAAGACAATTTAAAAACCATTAAATCGCTATAGAATATAAAAATTAGCTAATTATAATCATAATGACCGGTAGATGAATGCTTTGTTTTACCAATCAGTAATATCCAAAGACGCAACATTTACAACAACTTCATGACCAATTCTTGAAATTTTAAAGTCGCATCAGCATCTTTAGAAGTGATTAATTTTTTATAGGTACTACCTTTATGATATATGAGTCCATGAATTTCATTTTTTTGGACCAAGAATGAGAACATAAATGAGAATAGAGCTTTTATAACCACACATTTATAAGTTATAAGCCGTAAGGCATCATGATATTATGATATATTATAAGAAGAATTACACTGTGATACTGTGGCTGACACACAACGACGATGAAGTTTGATTGGTCCTTATCTGTTCTTTGATAGCCCAGAGCTCGACTGTTAAACAATGAAAAACTGTTGTCTATTGTTGAGCCGTTCAGCTTTTGATCTGTGTGCGATTCTTCAGATGTAAAGAAGCTTATTTCATTTTATTTCATTTAATTTCAGAATATTTTGTCACATGACCGAAATCATTAATACACAATGAAGCTTTTTCAATCAGATTCATATGGATGCGCCGTATAGTTTGCAAATACAATAAATTACAGAAGGAAATGTGGCTTTTCATGGACACTAAGTTTATGTTTAGTGAACAATAAGGTCAAATGGACTATATATGGTATCTAGTTTCCGTTATAAATGTTTTGAGCATTTCTTGAGGTTGGTGATATTTGAATCGTGAAGATGTCGTTGAAGAATTCTAATTCAAAGGATTCTTCCTATATAGATGACTCCAAACAAAATGTCATTGTCAATACAAAGGACGAGAGCCAAGAGGTAAATGATTCTGATGACAGTAGTAAATATGCTAATAATATGGATCAAGAGTTAAAATTGCAGAAAGTTATGACTTCAAGACATTTATTCATGATTTCTATAGGTTCCGCAATTGGTATGGGATTATGGCTTGGTATTGGTTCTTCATTACATAAGACTGGTCCTGTTGGTGTATTCATCGGTTATTTAGTCACAGGTTCAGTAGCTTGGGTATTAAATATGTCCATTGGTGAAATTGCAACTTTATACCCTGTTTCTTCAGCATTCCCAAGATGGACTGCTCAATTTATTGATCCAAGTCTTGCAGTCACAGTTGGCTGGATGCATTGGTGGGGGAATATGATTGGTGTTTCAAATGAATTGGTTGGTATTGCAACTGTTTTGAAATTTTGGGCTCCTGATGTTAGTCCAGCTGTTTGGATTAGTATTGCTTTTGTTACTTTGATATTTATTCATGCTTTTGCAATTAAACTTTTTGCAGAAGTTGAAAGTTTAATGTCTGGTTTAAAATTCCTATGGGTCATTGTGGCAATTATAATTATGATTGTAATTAGTGCTGGAGGTGCACCAAAAGGTGATGCAATTGGGTTTCAATATTGGAAATCATCACCTTTTAATCATCATGGATTTAAAGGATTTTTGACAGTTTTACCTGCTTGTGTCTTTGCCCTGTCAGGTATTGAAATCATTGGATTAGTAGCTGCTGAATGTAAATCACCAAGAAAATCCGTTCCTAAAGCTGTTAAATCCATTTGGATTCGTATTGGTCTTTTCTATATTTTAGGATCCTTTGTGGTTACTATAGTATTAGATCCAAATAATCAACAATTATTAGGTGGTTCAGGTGTGAATGCATCACCATTTGTTATTGCAGCTCAAAATTCAGGATTATCAAAATTCTCAGATGCAATGAATGTAATTATTTTAATTTCAGTCTTCAGTTCTGCTAGTGCAACTTTTTATGGATGTCCAAGAATTTTATTAGGTCTAGTTCATTTGAAAATGGCACCTAAAGTTTTAGGAAAAGTTGATAGAAAAGGTAGACCTTGGGTTGGATATATTTTCACTGCTTTATTATCGGGTGGATTAGCTTATATTAATTTAAGTAATTCAGGTGCTACAGTTTTCGGATGGTTTTCAAATCTTTGTTCATTAGTTGCCTTGTTATTATGGAGTGTTATTTTCATTGTAAATATTAGATTAAGAAAAGCTTGGAAGATTCAAGGACATAGTTTGGATGAATTACCTTGGAAACATAGATTTTCACCTTATACAGCATGGTATGGATTATTTTGGTCAATTTTGATTGTTGTAATTGAATTTTATTTAGCAGTTTGGCCATGGAAAGATAAATCATCAGCTCGTAATTTTTTTGCAAATTTTGTGTCAATTGTTTTAATGTTCTTCATTTACTTGGTCTCTAAAATATTTTTTTTCAAAGGTCCATTATTAATCCCATTGGAAGAAATTGATCTGAAAAATGGTCAAGCTATTTATGATGAAGAGTATTTGGCCAATGAAGATGAAGATTTGGGTGTGTTTATAGGAGGGTTCTATGACTTGAAACAAGCAGTGTTGAAGTCACACGTTTGAGTTAGCTATGAAAACAGGTGGTCGATCAGGATCAATACTCAAACTTTTACTTAAATTAGTATTCAAAAATGTTTCATTTATTGCATTTATATTTAAAGATATAAGCTCGATTATTTCATGGCTGTAATATATTGACCAGTAAACTTGTATATGACTAACAATATGATTGTTCATCACAAGCCCATTTTGGATGATAATTGGCTTTGTATTTGCTTTGTTTACATTGAGTAGCTGATTTAATCTCACTGCAATAGAACTTACAAAACTTATTGGCAAAATCAACCACATTCTTTCCACCACCATTTGAAATTCTCCAGACACAATTTTTGATGCTACCATGACATTGATTATACTTATTGTTAGCACCAAAGCAAAATCTACCTCTGTCACCTGCTTCATCTATAATTGAATCATCTGGTAAGGATGTAGAGTTTCCAGCATCGATTGAACTTTTTGTAGTAGCAGACGAAGCAATTGGTGAGCCAATAACACTTAATGATAATAAACTTGAAACGATAATTGCTGATAATTTCATATTGGTGTAGATTGTCTTGCTGGTAGTCAATCACTGATCTAATTGATTTGATACTTTTGATGAGAATTGCACCCAAATGATTAAAAGCAGGATGAAGTATCTCTTATATAGCGTATCAGGTATTATCAAAGCAGCGTAAATTCTCAAGCATAGTTTCTAAATTATCTGATGTGTGATATGGATCTTCCAGTATGATATAATCGGAAACATTTGCAGCACGTTGTAGATCTCAAAGCTCATTGTAATTAGCCGATGAGTCAATTTAATAATGAGTATTTGAGAACGATCTCAAACCAGTTACTTTCAAGACCAAATAGTACCTTGTTTGATCCGTCAATAAAAGCAAATTCCCATGGTGAATAAAGTTGACCGTAATTTGTAAACCTTATATCACTTAGTACAATAAACACCCTAAAGGTTTGACACTTCAAGCAATTGAAGAATGAGCTGTACCACAAAGAATATTTTGATGCAACCATGAGTGTGATTGATCCATGGTTTTGTCAATTGTCTAATTGCATCAAAATCATTCTGTGTGTTGATTCTAACTTTCAACTTTCAACATTGGAATTAACGATTTATACTTTTGATCGAATTCGCGGGCTCAATATAGTTATTCTACATTTTACACTAAAACCAGGTAGATATTGTACTTGACTTTTGACTTATACTCCTTATATTATGAATCCTATAATTTGATATCCTAACCAGAATCACACACACGAATTAGTAGTTAAAATTCTGCACAAGACCATTAACAATATTTTTGATCATCACAAGCCCACTTTGGGTTATAATTGAACTTCTTCTTATTAGTTTTACAATCATTTGAGCTTTTGATAGAGCTACACCAGAACCCACAATAGCTCTTAGCATCTTTATCACTTATACCTTCTTTTTTTGTAGCAGTAATACATTTTGAGGCTGAAGAACCTTCACAAAGACCACTCCAAAACAAAGCTTACCACCACCTTCAGTCTTGAAGGTATCAGTGGAATTATTAGAGTCTATAACTAAACTTTCAGCGTCTGCAACGTCAGGGGAAGCAATTGGTGAAGCAATGACACTTGATAATAGTATACCTTGAACTAAAGTTGTGCCGAATCTCATGATGGTAATCTCTTGGTTGTTTTCTATGTTATTTTATTGATTTGATACGACTCAAGACATATCTATGAGAATAGCCATGATGGGTATAAGATTCTGTTTATATATATAAGTCTTCCAAATAATCTAAAATTGCTATATCCCAGAGCACGTACCTACTTTAAATCTCTATATCAGATTTCAATCCAGCCAAATGCGGTTGATCAATTTTGAAATTGATCTTCTACGACTGATCATATAATCGCAAATTGTGCATCATCAATAATAAACATGGAACTTGATATTGTGCACGTCTAAGGGCAATGAAACACTATGACTTAAAATGTTTAAGACCATACCCTGAAGCCAGCTACAATGGCTACTATTCTTTGAGATATGACTTGGAGTGTAATTAATGGAGTAGTATATATGGGACCAACCATACAGCACATACAGTTTGAGCGAGTAACATGGAGAAAGTTCAATCAATGATTTGTCATAGCTCTGAAATAACGATAACTTTAATTATACTACCATAATAGTCAAATAATCTATGTGTATATTGTAATCTATAGTATAAGCTGGTGTATCAAACTGAGTTATATACTTCTAGTGTAAATAGTTGAATTAGCAAGTTTTCTCTTAATAACTATCAAATAGTAACGACAGTTTATATGGCCTAATCATCAACAAATCAATGTAAACATGAATACATTTGATCTTTACAACCCCATTTAGGATGATAATTGAACTTCTTCTTGTTGGTTCTACAATCATCAAGAGTCTTGATCTTGCTGCACCAGAAATTACAGGCATTGGTAGCATCCTTAGGAGAATAATGATCCTTACCAGTTTCATAAGCTCTAGCACAAGCTTTGACACTCTTACCAGTACAATAACGACCTTGATTTTCATCAAAGCAAAGTTCATACTTTGCACCAAAACCTTGAGCAGAAATATCAGTGGAATTATCAGCATCTGGAGTAGTGACAACTGGTGAAGCAATGATACCACATAATAATAAACCTTGAACTAAGACTGATGATAATTTCATGATGAGAATGTTGATTGATTTGATTGATCTAGTTGATATAGTATTGATTAATATTCAAATGCCATCAAACAGCGAACATCGTTCTTTATATATAATTCACAAACAAACAAATTCACAAATATTTCACTCATATGCCACTTTATGAGTTACAACTCACTATCATGCTTCGATCTAAATTTTGGTGTTCGATCGTCTATGATATAATCGGATCTCAATTTAAACCTGAATCTGCTTCGACAGAGATGATAGAAAGGCTGTGCAAAATGCTTCAAATTCAATGGAAGTTATCAGTTATCAGGAACATAAGCATATGGACGTGATCTGAGTTCTTAACCTTTTCAGTTGTGACATTATTTTATTGTTTTATAATGAATCAAATATTTGTTTATGTTCCGTGCTTAATATGAGATGATAACCTGTACATATGTTTGTTGAAGCTCTGCTACCTTAGTTTTCTATGACAGTATAAGCAGCTAATCTAAAAACCAGATTGATTTACCTTCCATCTTTTGGTTAAGTCAAGAATCCAGCGTTATAACTTATGAGTTGTAACTTTTTGAGTAAAATTTTAGTCAATTTGGTTTTAAAATTTTGAATATCTCAAATTTCGCAAATTGCGCTCTGACCCGATTTGGTAATCGGAGTTTCTCGTAAAAATCAAGTCAATCCGCTTTGTATACGGTTGTAGTAAATCACATCCTTGTATTGGAAAACTAGTTGAAAGAAAGGTATATTGAATTCGTTAGCCGTTAATTATCAGTTCCTACGAGAGTAGAATATACTTTACAAATGAGGTGTATCATATATTAATTTAATATTTGTAGCATTGTAGCATGTCATCACTATATGCTCAACTATATTAGAGCCCTCAATTACAGGTTTAATACACATTTAAACTAGAATATTCATTATAGTTAATTAAAACAAATGATATACATAAGGTGATATGTCCTATCTAGTATTCCTTTAAACACACTCAACAATTGAATTTTGCATCTTTACAAGACCAATCTGGTTCGTAATTAAATTTTATCTTATTGAATCCACAATCCTCAGTCTTTTTCATTTTGGTACACCAGAAACCACAATAGCTAGGAGCTTTATTAGGACCAACAGCTGGCATGGAACTATAGTATTTTCTACATTTGCTCTCATTTCCTCCGTGACAAAAAATCTTTTGATTAGCATGGAAACAAAATTTAGATCCTTCTATGGAAACTTCAGTTGAGTTATCTGATTGAAAGTTGGTTTCATTAAAAGCAACTGAGATTTCAGTAGCACTTGGAGCAGCAATTGGTGAAGCAGTGATACCTGATAAGAATAATGCAGAAGCTGCTAAGACTGATGATAATTTCATATTGATTAAGATTATGATTGAAGTAATTGATTTGATACCGATTAGTATAAACTTCAAAGCTGTATTAAAAAAACGAGGACGATTGCTCTTTAAATAATAAATTTATAAATTCAATGTATAATATAGCTGATCTACCACTATATTAAAGACTTCTCAGCATTTCCTATTGTGAATGTTCTAAGTAAAATTTAAGACCTTTTAATGTCTTCCAATACGGCACACTGATATAATCGCACAATTTTGCCCATCAATTTCCAATATTAGACTAATTCTGAAGGTCAGTTGATGGAGTCTCAGGTTGTAGTTGCATGGTTGAATGTAGATCAAGACCATCAAAGTTTGAATATTCTTCTTGCACTAATGATGTTCCTTGTACTTCTCAATTATATATCATTATATGTTATATATAATTCCAATAACTTAGCCACTAATATCACCAGTTTGAAGTTAATGAAATCAACAGATCTCCTAGTACCATCACCTTTAAGTTAATTAATTATCATGAGTAACTGTTTTGAGTTGCTGAATATAAAAATTGTCAGATTAGCTTTTGCAAATTCCGCTTCGACCCGATTTGGTAATCGGATTCTCTCGTAAATATTACGCTTAGTCAATCAGCTGCTTCGATTATGGTTGCAGTAAGTCTTATAGTATAGAAACAACTTATAAGGTATATAACCAGTGGAGTATACTTATTTAACTTACTTATTAGGCACTGATTTATCAGCTTTGTGTCTACAGTATACAAAAACCAGACTTGACAATTGAGATGTATATACCCCATATTGATCATGCCCCTTTAAAATATTTTGATAATTAGTATAGCGTGTTACCGATATATCAATATGATACAATATTGGATATATGATATTTAGTTGATATTCTGAAGAGCCAGTAAATATTTGATTAAGTAGCAGGTAGCCGGTTTCCCTGAATATAAAGAGCTTTGAGCTGTATTATTGCACCAGATTGATCTGTTAATTACATTGAAATCCAATTTCGAGATATTTTGAAGCTGCTATCTGCTAATTAGTTTCATAATTTGTATCATGAGATCATTACTAGCTAAATATCTTAATTAAAGTTCTGAATTGCGGGTTTGATATACATTAATTAAATTACTCAAAGATTAAAAGTTATATGGTAATATGTATTGACTGATAGTTCATATAGTATCTCTCTAAATACACTCAACAATCGTATCTTGCCTCTTTACAAGACCAATCTGGATGATAGTTGTATTTCAGCTTATTAAATCCACAATCATCAATCTTTTCAAATTTGTTACACCAGAAACCACAAGTGTTAGGAGCTGTTCTTTCGGAAACTGAACGGTGTTTGACACATTTTTTATAGGTTCCACCGTAACACATAAGATTTTTAGTTCCTTGGATACAAACGGTTGCTCCTTCCATCGAAATATCAGTTGAGTTACCAGAAGGAGAAATTGTTTCATTGTAATTAGAAGCAGCTGAGCTTTCAGTAGCACTTGGAACAGCAATTGGTGAAGCCATGATACCTGTGAATAATAATGCAGAAGCTGCTAAGACTGATATTGATAATTTCATATTGATTATGATTATGATTATGATTATGATTATGATTATGATTATGATTATGATTATGATTATGATTAAACAGCTAATTGATTTGATACGGCCGATCGGTATAGATTTCAAAGTATTCAAAAAAAAGAGGACATTTGCTCTTTAAATAATATTAAAATCAAACTATATAGCTGATCTACCACTATATACCATATATAATATGTTCGAAATAAAATTCAAGGCATTTTAATGTCTTCCAATACGCGATATACACTGATATAATCGCAAAACTTTGCCCATGAGCTTTCAAAATTAGACTAATTATGAAGATCAGTAGATGAAATAGTCTAAATTGGTGTATGTAGATCAAGGTTGGTCAATAGTACTTCAACACACTTCTTGTTCTAATAATGTTCAATCTGTGTGTTTTTCTTTATATTTGCAAATGAATCGATAGATTAGGAGTTTTATCATGACGCTAATTAGAATGGTACATAGCGTCTCAGATTTCAAGAGCTAACAGTGAGCTCAGATTTATATTACAACTTTCCTACATCAAGAGTGGGAAATGATATATATTAAATGAAATCTTATCTAATATCCCTTTAAATACACTCAGCAATCGAATTTTGCATCTTTACAAGACCATTTTGGATTGTAATTAAATTTCTCCTTATTAAATCCACAATCTTCAATCTTGTTCATTTTGGTACACCAGAAACCACAAAAGCTAGGAACTGTTTTATCAAAAGATCCATTGCGCTCTTTGACACATTTTTTAAAGGTCCCACCTAGACACCTAGAGCTTTGAGTTTCATGGAAACAAAAGCTCTCTCCTTCCATAGAAATATCAGTAGAGCTATCTGATTGAAAATTGGTTTCATTGGAAGCAACTGAGCTTTTGGTAGCACCAGGAACAGAAATTGGTGAAGCCATGATATCCAAGAATAATAATGCTGAAGATGCTAAGACTGATGTTAATTTCATTTTAATTATTATGATTGTAATAGAGCTAATTGATTGGTTCTACCGAGTATATAAGCTTGAAAGTTTCCAAAGAAACGGGGAATAGTTTCCCTTTAAATACTAATAATTAAATTGAAGTATATCTGATCTACGGTTGTAATAACATACTTCTCAATTTCTCACCAAAAGCAGGCTAGTAATGAAATTCAATTGATTAAATCTTAAGTTGAAGGTGAACATTGAACAAGGTCAATAAACTTTAAGCATCTTTCGATCACTGAACTTTTCAATTATATCGGCTGAAGCACTAAGATCACCAAATAACATGATCTTCGAGAGCCCAGAGCCGATTTGATAATCGGATTTCCTCGTATAAGTAATACTTTGAAAGCAATATATAACATGTGTGTGTATAATATAATTAAAGAACTTATAATTCAATCGAACGTATAAAAACATTTACCCATATATGTGATATATTAGTACGTCTAATATATTGATAAGTAGTAAATGTGAAATAGATTTCTATATATTTTAAAAAATATGGTCATGTCATGTATAGAATTTTTAAGTATAATATAGAGTATAAACTAGCAATTGGTTTTGAATAACAGTCCATATATACGGTATAAATATTATAATATACTTTTAAGAGATATTAAGTGCAACAAGATATGATTTTATCAGCAACAAATTAACAATATTTTTGATCTTTACAAGCCCATTTAGGATGGTAATTGGCCCACTTCTTTCTGGTTTTACAATCATTAACATTTCTAATTTTGCTACAGAAGAAATCACAAAAATTTCTAGCATCTCTTCGATTCATTCCCCCGTCTTGTTGATGATTAGAACAATCTCTAATATTCTTACCATAACAGAGTTTACCAGCTTCAAAAGCATCAAAGCAAAGGTAATAACGGGTAGCAGCAGTGCCTAATAAATCAGTGGAATTATCTGGACTTTCAAAAGCATCTGAAATAGCATCAGCAGTAGAAGCAATTGGTGAAGCAATGATACCTGATAATAACAAACCTTGGAGTAAAATTGATGATAATTGCATGATATTAAAGAGACTGATTGTTTTGATTTAATCGATTTGAATCTGATGATCTGATCATCATTGATATAATTAAGGGTTGTAATAATGGAGTGAAAATCATCCATTTATATATCGTTATCAAGATGCAAATCTGTAATGAATAATTACGATCAAATTATTTAGATCAATGTTGAATATTTGATCAAAGCATCAAGCCAAAGTTAAGTAATCGGAATTTCTCGCATAATTGTATTTGATCGGTATATTTGTAGATCTCATATGTACTTCTAGCCTCTCGTGTTATACCATTATACCCACTGTGGTTCAATTATTTGCAGACCATTATCAGTTGAGAGTATTAATCAGTTCAGAAAGGTTCCAGAATTCATGAGTAACAAAGCATAATAGTTAGTGAATTTGATTAAAGAAACAGATCAAATTTGATAATAAAATTTTGATACCCGTTACATAATCAAAGTATACCAGAAGCCGGATCATCAGATTGAAGCACAAATTATTTCATACTTTCGATTTCTAAATTCCAATCCTTGTTTTTGTTCAATCATTGATGTACAATGAATTTGCTCTTAAATACGTGTACCAATATAAACTACAAGCTGTGAATGATCGTATAAATTCAGTCTAGCGTTCAAAGCATTTTCATATAAAATTTGATAATGATCTTCATTCACTCCAAGTTTAGTGATCTAATTATATTGTCTACTATGATCCTGTCAGATTGAGCTGTGATGACATGTATTTGTAAATATTCGTGTTAGTAAAATGAACTTATAGATTCATGAGTCTAATGATTGCTAGTTCAATAAACTTCAAGTATATATCATGATAGATTGCTATTAAATATTTCTACTATAACATTGGGTTATAAATAATCATGTGTGTATATTAATATAATGTGCCTAGTAATTATATTATTATTTCTATTTCTACAGCCTTCAGTTTAACCGCTACAGAAACGAGACTATGACCATTCGATAGCAAATATACGACTCCCTTCACTTCCCACTACTTACAACTTCGTAGCTCCACTTCCTGGCGAGTTATGATGTGTTGAAGTTTGGCTTTTTTGGCCTTCTCATTGGTCAATTCGCTATTTTTTGTTTACTTTTCGTTTTTTTTGTTTACTTTTCAGTTTTTTTTTTAATTTTTATGATTCTTTGTTTACTTTTCGTTTTTTTTTTTAATTTTAATAGTCCTTCTTTGTTTACTTTTCGTATTCGTTCTAGCTTCTAACTATTAACTTCCAGGTTCTATGGGGCCTCCTATTGATGCTACAACCATAGCTGATAAAAGTTTGGATGAACTGTGGGAGTTTAGGAATGCACATGCCATTTGGTTGGTCCAAGGAGGTTTATTGAGTTATTGAAATGAGTTATTCTCTTGCTTGATAGTCCAGCTTCCTGGTGGTGGTTTTGTTAATTTCAGAGTTGGACCCATCTCATATTATCTTGATAGGTGTTCTGCTTATAGATATGTTTGGTTTTGAATCTTGACTTTGAGCTGAATCTGTTGCTCTGTTATTCGTCATTTAGGATTGGTTTATGATGTTTTAGGTACCCATTTCAGCTTTACACTGGCTTTATACATTTTGCGGGTCAATCATCCATAAAAAAGGCTGGAATTTGGAATACAATGCCATTCAGAAAAAAGGTTTGGACTTTTCAATTTGTTCGTGCTTAAGACCATTCTATTTACAGAACATCTATTCTCAGGATACATACAAAGTTGTGGAAGCTCATACAGGGAAAAAGTTATATGTGGATATTCGTACTACTGCCATTGAACTAAACGAGTGGTTATTCATCCGAGGTGCTATGAAAATTCTGTTTGGACTTTAGGTGAAAGTGGTTAAATGGTTGAAAGTTTGGATTGATGGCTCGCATTACAATGTTAATTGTTCACTAATCAAGCTTCAGAGTCATTGATGTATGAGTTTTGTGGACTGTGCTACAGATAATGTCTTTTAGATTCCGTTCGTTACATGTTGTGTCAACTTAACCATCTACAGGTGTACGCACATTTCCATACCTCACTAAATTCCCATTTGAGATATTTATACGCTCTAATATCACCTTTGGAGACTAATTACTTGGGGCTTCGTATACTCCAATGAAGATGGTCCCTATTTATTTACCTCTTGGTAAAATATATTTACTTGAAGTATGGGTATTAATTGTGTTAGTGCTAAGATGTTGACCAAGTCACTGGACTCATACTTCAGGTGGTCTTCTATTCATGTCATGTTCACATCTCAGGTTATTGTGACAGGTATACAGCAGATATATATATGGTGGGCTTGACCATGACTTGGATTTAATGTTAGATTTGTCTTCATTGTGTTATTTGTTATTCAGCTATCAATCATATGTGGTATGTGTGAATATCCTATACTTTATATTGTGATGAATAAAAACCCGTATTATATATGTGGTATTACTTCATACTTGATATGTTAGATATTATAGGCTTTCAGCTTTCGGTCAATGCTACCTCAGCCATATTTGGTCATTTGCTATTGATTCAAAGTTGTTTATTTGAAGCCATGAGGATTTGATATCAATGGTTTCGAGGTGCTCATGAATGTTGCGAGATAAGTTATTGTATTGGCTGAAGCTTGGAGTGCTTACGTGGCTTACAATAGCGGATTGTTTTATGGTGATTGATACCCAATTTAAGAGTTGAAGATCAGTTTGATTTTAAGGTTTTGACTGCCTATGGGTATAAAATAGTTTCGAAGTTTATGGGATTCACCTCCATGACTTTACCTCTTGACAGCTGTTCTATTGTTATATTGACTCCAAGATGCTGGCCCTTTTGGACATTAACAGGTCAAGGGTGTATTTTCTTATCTTCAGGTGGATCAAACTTTAATGCTCAAAGGAATAAATAAAGTAAGTTATGTAATTTTACATTTGGTCTGCTAGCTTTTGCTGTTTGAATAACGGTTTGTTTCTATAAGTTGTTGTGGTTTCGTCAATTACAGTGAATGTTTGATCCCCAACTTTTGTGTTATCATCATCTTTAAATTGGATTAAAAGCTTTGAAATAAGTTCATAAGTCCTATTTCGATTGAAAGTTATAAATCGGTTAGCGATTTTACGGAAAAGTATTGCAGCTAGGTTTAGATAATAAAAATAGAGTTGATATCAAATCTGCTGTAACGTTTGTTTTTGATAGATCACAGGCCCCTTTTGTGCTCATCACAAAACTGTGTATCAGTTTGACCTTGGCTGGAGCTCTTTATGAACGCTAAGAAGCTTATATGTGAATCACATAAGAGTTATAATGCAATTATTCTAGGCTATTTGGGTGAAAAGCTAGAGATAATGGTGTTTTTGTTCTACTTTTGCAGATTCAAATATGAATTATAAGCGAAATGTAACGTGCATAGGTGTATTGTTGAAAAATGATTATATTTTTGGTGATTATAAACATATTCTTGAATATTGTGTTTGTTTAATTCGGCTCTGTCTTCATCTTGCAAGGCATTCAATCCAGTTCAGAATAGAATGATGATCGGCAGATTTTTTTGAAATTGTGTGAAAGGTGTTGACACTGATGATTGTTTAGTATGCTCTTCTTTGACATCGAATACGTTGATATTTGGTAGCTCTTCATGGAAAATTGAGAAACATGAGTTTGTTCCTATTGAGTTTGTACTTACTCGAGTTAATGTGCCGTCAACATTTGATTCGATCTCCCTATCGCACCATTTGTATTTTCTTTTATGAGAAAAGTTGAAGATCTAGATTCATCTTCCTTTAATTCTAAATTGATCATGGGTTCTTCGATTCCTGTTAATGAATTAGTTTCCAAATGATTCGTCGGAGTTTGAAAGATTTTAATATACACCAGGTAATTTGGTAAGTATTGATAAATTAGTACATCATGATACTGATCATTGAATAATTACAAGAATATTGATATGAATAGAAGTTATTGTTTTGTTCTATTGTACTAATTATTAATTTATGAGCCCTCTACATCTTATTTGCTGAGAAGCTGAGAAATAGCGATCATTTTTACCACCATTAGGATTAAGAATCAAACCTATACCCTACTTTGTGAGCGAAGCGAGCAACTGAAATCTTTGATTTCATATATATATAATGGATATTCCAAACTTCATCAGCTATACGTCCAATTTATGATATTTAACAATATTTTTGTTCATCACAAGCAAAAGATGGATTGTAATTCAAGCTTTTCTTTAAACTTTTACAATCATCAACAGTCTTGATTTCACTGCACCAGAAAGAACAAAAAGCATCTGCATCAGGGTCTTTATTTTCTTTGTGTTTTTTAACACAAGCTTCAACACTATGTTGATAACAATTTTCGCTTTTAGTTTGCTCAAAGCACAAGTTGTATTGTTGTTTTGAATCTGCAGCTAAGGAAATATCTGTTGAGTCTTCAGAAAACTCTGGTGCTGCAATTGGAGATGCAATGATACCTGATAGGAGCAAGCCTTGGACAATTATAACTGTTGATAATCTCATGTTAATTCTTTGATTGAAATGATTTGGTAATGATATTGATTTATGACACTGGAAAGCTCAAAGAAATCAAGTAGGGAGTGTTACTTGCTTATATATATACTTTGTGTAGTATATTTGTTTTAATACCCCAAATTACACACGCACCACATTGGCTGAGCTTAATTGATCTTTTTATGTTTTCTTTATTTGTGTTTCTATTACTCACTGATATAATCGCTTATATACGAGTAGCGAATCAATTATATGAAGTTGAAGCAAAAGAAGAACAAGTTCAGAACTTTATTTTCCAATCTAGAAAGCCTTTAATTACTTCATATCAAATGATCTATTAAACCTGTAATTATAAGTCCCAATTGAAGCATTGGAGCACTTCCACCTATTAGCAACAAAAACACTTGTATGATAAACCAATAAACATTTTTGAAGACTACATCAATTCGTGATCTGTATATGATTTGAGCCCTGGTCTTCTATGTATTAGCTGTGTAATTAATAAAGATATCTTCGTTAGAACTGTGATATTATTACTATTTTCTAATTACTTGTATGTTATAAATTCTAGTTGACTTACAGTACTATAGCTTGATTTCACGTTGTATATAATAAATTGCAATTGCTCAATATGACTGGAATGGATGCAACTGAATTTGTTCCATTAGGTATTAGGTATTAAGTATAGAAAGATCCTGATATATAAAGAAATTGATTATGTCCCTTTCAATTCCATGTACATCATCTACAACTTAATATATTAAAGCTGTGCATATATTTTTGTGACCACCATGATTATAGTAAGTCAATATATTATACCAGCACCTTAAAATGGTTTTTGAAACAGTTAGCAGTATGAAATAGCACGTTTATCATCACAAGCCCAAGGTGGATGATAATTGAATTTTTTCTTGTTTGTTTTACAATCATTAGCATTTCTGATTTTGCTGCAGTAAAAGGAACAAAGTGGTCTATGGCTCTCAGGGTCCGTTTTGGTATTTTTAGTATAGGATTTAATACAGGCTTCAACATTCTTTCCAAAACAATATTTACCTTTATTTTCATTAAAGCAAAGGTGTTCCGTTCCCAGTCTATAACCCTCAGCAGATATAGTATCAGTGGAATTATCAGTATTTGGTCCTTCAAGAGCATCATCTGTAGTGGTAACAATTGGTGAAGCTATGATGCCTGATAATAATAAACCTTGGAGCAAAATTGATGATAACTGCATATTAAAGAAACCGATTGTGAATTGATTTTATCGATGTTGATTTGATTATTATTGATATGATTAAATCAGTATACTATATATAATCCTGGAAAATATCATTTATTTATATATGTAGAGTTCTGAAGAAGCAAATTTGCAATGAACATCTGCAAACATAACACCACGGGTGGTTCTTCACTATCATTTAATTGATCTTCCAGGTGTTTCTGTCTACCTTAGGATTTTTATAACAATAATTTAATATTTTCTGAAGTGTGATTTGTTAATATCCCAGATCTCAGATCCCCAGCATGATATGTAATCGGAAATATCTGCGTATGGTATATCAAAGCGCTGTAGATCAAGATAGATCCAAATTATAAATGAAATTATCAAGGACATCTTACTTAATTAGCTTGAAGCATTCAGTTAAGTAATCGATCATAATTATTCTTGTAAATCTCATCGGTATATTATACTGTTGGAAGAATCGGTACAGGAAGACTATAAAATATCAAATCATATGAATGAATTGGTATATAGTTATAATGGAATCTAAAGTTGTTTGGTCTAATATAGCCATATTAAGTGTAAAGGCCCCTTCATACACAATTTGAGCGACCACACCTGGTTATAATCCAGCCATCTAATCAGTTTCTTTATTGATAGTGAAAATTAGTATTATGATACTATCCCTACATTAATTCTTTAAATAATCAACGAAAAATGGAAATTTTTATTGAATAAACTAGTATATAGGAAGTCTGTAAACTTAATCAAACTCACATGCTATAACCTTTCAATAATAAGATTCAATTGCATGTTATAGTAAGACAAAATATACTCCAAGTCCCAAATCATAAGGGACAAAGGGGTAACAATTTTGACAATAGCAATAATTACTTATTTAAGCTGGTCCTAATTGTAAGTACATGTTGCGAGCAAAGTTTTTCAACAATTCGTCATTCTCATGGATTCAGAAAAGCCAGCTTGAAGTTTCAAACTTCAAAACATTAAATGGAAGAAAACAAATCACCCATAAACATTTTTTAAGACTACAGCTAATTCGCGATCTGTATATGATTTGAGCCCTGGTCTTTGCAAAAGCAAACTATCTAAATCAGATTATGTGCTGATTAATGCTAGTTTTAAATAAAACTTGTAACAACTTGGATAAATGATGAAAAAAATTCTTGGAAGGACGTTTTGATGGATTTACTGATATTTCTTATTCCATATATTAATTCTGGTCTGGTTGAGGTAGTTGCGTAAATCGCATAGTTCCTCTTCTTGATTGAACACATTGTATCATGTACTATAACATCCTGTTTGACATGCAGTACATTGGTATTAAATATTGGATCAATTAAAACATCATGGATGGTATTTCCTTCAATCATAGGAAAAATCCTGAGATTAAGATCCTAGGCATCATATGCTTAAAAACATGACCAAATACGTACTATATAAGTGGATTTGATTAAGTTTACAACATCTCTATATAATACACAATTGGTTATGACTTTTCAATTTTTTATACACAAGCTTGTAGTTAGAAAATCTACCGATTAAGAACGTTAAAACTGTTATAATGCTACAAGTATCTAAATTCAATTTAAAAAAGGTGATATTGATCGTGATATATACAGGATTTTCAGATCATGGGAGTCCAAACTTACACTGTATAATCTTGATCAATTTGTTAATATGTATATTTATAATATCATATCATTCAAACAATGATTTTAGTATATTTCAACTTTTCTATCCAAAAAGAGCCATTATGTGATTTTTCAATATGATCAAATTGTAGTAAAAATATAACGTAATATCATTGTTTAAACTTTCAAAATTCCACAACATTTGAACCTATAAAACGGACATTCCCATTACAGCTATTCCAAGCTGACCTAATAGATATGCAGTAAGAACCTAGGTTTTTTTGAATAACTTATCATCATCAAATTGTAACAAGTTGACATCCTTAAAATTTTCTGGTGGACGTTGCGCGATTTGAAACCGGTTTGAGCCCTGGTTGTCTTACAAATTTTAGTAGAAACTTATATAAAATTGAATCTTAATACTGAGCTTATGGTTTTTTAACGGTTCATACATGAGCTTGAAATACTCTAGGAATTGTATCCAATTGGAAAGGTTTTCTTTATCCACCAGGGGAGAGGTTGAACTCGCTATCTTTATTTAGTGGTTTAAGGAGGGTAGTAGTATTCAGAGTTTAAACTCAGTTATCAGTTATCAGTTGACCACATGAGACGATGATTAAAAACTGATGCTTTTAGCAACACTGAAGAAGTATTAAATTTTAATAATACATTGAATTACTTCGATTGGTATTAGAATATATGTGGATTTGATTAAGTTTACAAATCTCTATATTAATATACAATTGGGTTAACCTTTTTTGAATTCTATATTGTATTGTTACTATTGTTAGTATATATGTCATTCTACACTTGTATATTGAAAAAAGATTATATTGATTAATGGATATATAGGAAGTTCAAGATCATGAAAGACCAAACTTACACTTGATATACCTTCATCAATGTTATATTGGTGTGTTCATATATGTATTCTTTTGCTGAGTTTGATAACATATATAAATCCAATTAGGAAAATAAGATGAACAACGTTTTATAAACTCACGACATATCAAGTTGCACAAATGTCATGACAAAACGAAAAGCTGAAATATGTATGAACCAAAAATGCGTGAATCTAATTGATTCTTGCAATAAATTAATTATCGATCGAAATGATTCTTGCTCAAATCCGACTTTCTTTAAAGAAGAACTGATATAGTGCAAATAATGTAATGAAAGTTCAACAGAGCTTTGTAATTCAACAATATCAATTAGAAGCTTTATAGTTGTAACAATAAATTTTTATACACGTATAATTCGCTAAGGTTTGAAGCCCTGTAAAGACAGTAGTGGCTAAGAAATATTCATGAAATATGATTTGTTTTCTTTTAATTAATGATTTGAAACTTCTATATGGATACTGTTTCGTCTTACCTTATAGAAGTTTCGGGTTTTTGAAAACGTTCTTTCACAATTTATGCTGCTTATGGGTGCTGAAATTAGGTTTTTCCATCAGAAACTAGAAATGTCAAATTGTTCCCCTTTGTCCCTTTGATTTGGGATTTTAATCAGGGAGTACATTTTGTTGTATCAACATTTTTGAAACAAATCATTGAGAGTTTATAGTTGTAGGTTTGATTAAGTTTACAGACTTCCTATATACTTTATTCAATGGTTATTAATATTATTCATTGATGATTCAATTGATTATATTGATGTAGACAGATATAACATATAACTACTTTTGTTATGACTAATTTTTGGTATAAGATTTGTAATCTACACAGTTGTATAGCACTTTTCGAGCTCATATATTAAGCATCTTGACGTAGTTATAATTGACCAAAGTCGATATAAAGTTCTTATTCTACACGTATCACGTATCTAAACTTAAAAAAAAGATATTGATTAATGGTTATATAGGAAGTTCAAGATCTTGAAAGACCAAACTTACACTTAATATACCTTCATCAATGTGTTATATTTAGTAACGTCAATAATCTATGTATTCTTATGGTAATATCAATGACATCTGAACCAATAAGATCAACATCATGAACGTTAAACAGCAAGATCAAAAATTAAAAAGCACTTTAAAAATAAACACATCAGCCATTTTATTATTCCACAAATCTGAGCAAGTTAGCTATTTGTTCGACTTTTTCCAGAATATTTTGCTGACGAAACAGATCCCATCATGAATGCCATCGAAATCATAAACAATTTGAAGTAGAGAAGTTGTTCAAAAAAGTGTTCAGGAGTTTTCTTATTTCACTGAAAGACAAAATTATAAATTGATTTTTATGGTTCGAAGCCCTGCCATAATAAAGCAAAAAAAAATTTATACCGATGAGATGAAATAATGTAAGTAGAAACAAGTAATACTATCTTTACAAGTTTTTGATTAAATATGTTGATTGATTTAAACGTTCAATGGCCACAACGTAACTATGCCACACCACCAACACCTCAAGAAATCATCAAATTGAAAAACACAATATCAACTTTAGAAGAATTAGGGTATACACATATAGCATTAAATTTCACAGTTAATCATAAAGATAAAATTCCATCAAATCAACAAATAAATCCAATAAATTTTGACTTGTTAAAAGAATTCCAAGGTAGAATCAAATTTTTCTCAAGAGTTACTATTATAATTGATGAACCATCCCAAGGACAATCTATATCAAAATTACAAAATGGATTTGATATTATTTCTGTATTACCAATAAGTGAAAAAGGTGTGCTTTTGGCATGTAATTCCCTGGATATAGATATTATCACTTTCCAATATGATAAAAGATTACCATGTTTCCTTAAGCAAAAAACTATTGGTGCTGCAGTTAAGAAGGGGATTAAATTTGAAATTACATATTCAAATTTCATAAAAGATCAAGGGAATTCCAGAGCACAGTTTATAAATAATTCATTGAATTTGATAAGAGCTTCAAGGAATCAAAATATTATTGTATCAAGTGGTGCTACCAGTTCCCTAGAGATAAGGAATTTCCCAGATGTTTTAAATTTATTAGATTTATTAGGTTTCAAAAAAAATTATAATTTGATTGATAAAGCTTCAAAAGTTTTGTTAAGTGGAAGATTAAGAAATAAAAGTTATAAACAAACTATAATGATTGGTGAAGATGCTATAGAGGATGAAGCGAACCTAAATAAAAGAAATATCAAAGATATTAATGGTGGTGATGTTTTCAAACAACATTTAAAGAAATTGAAAAGTGGGAAATGATGGGTGACATGAATTTGAACGATTTAATATAGAATTTGCATTTGACATTTGATATGAGTGTTTAATTGTAGAATAGTAAGGTACTCTTTGTATCAAATCTAAATGGTGTACCTTATATAAGATTTTTTGATAGTCACAAGTTGATATGTACCAATTAGGAAATCTCCTACAATACATCAATAGTAATAACATTCCATACTAAATTCTAATCACCAGCCTTAAGGACGAGATCAAAGAAGGAGTCAGTTAAAGATCTCCAACAATAAATCTATACAGTACTTGGCCGTTCATTCCCCTATGTGATATAATTGGCTGGGAGTCACTGGGAGTCACTGGGAGTGCCTGAGAGTAAAGACAGGTACGTTTTAAGATACATCATGTACATAACGTGTATGGGATTCAAAGTTACGTGTCTGTTGCATTGATCTCGCTTAAGAAAGGTGGTGGAGGGACGTGATTGGACCATGGAGTGTGAACTGTGGACCCATGGACTTGAGCTTATACTAGTACTGTACTCTAGTATACTACTAGTTAATTGAAGTTAAAGTGTGGTCAGAAAATGGAAAAGATCTTCAATGCTAAAAAAAGTGTGAAAAGTGAAAAATTTGCACTGATAAAACATAAAACCAGGGAATCAGAAGGGAAGTGAAAGAAACTACTATAATATCATGAGCTTTACTAAGCTAACCCTGTGACACCGAGCTATCCATTGTACTTTTAATTCAACTTCTGATCTGATCTGTCCCCCTTGGCTTCATGTAAGGAGAATATCCTGATTTTTCCTGAACTTTACGCGTTCTTTCCAAATTCTGCAGTGTAATTGAAAACCCTTTTCGCGTCAGATCCCAAAGGAGTACAATTAAATTACTTTGAGATCTTCGATTTAAACTAAAAAGATTCTGCTTAAAGTAAGTAAGAATTTGTCTGGCTCAATTGAAAGGGACACTGTCAAATTGATTTGAAATTTTAACTTTTGTTTCAAATTTATAGTGTAAAAGATCCTGGTTTTTCATTTTAATCTTTTGTACTCAGATCATAAAGGGTATACACATACTATAGACAAGAATATTACACAACCATGGACACCAATATCCATTCAATCTGGGTCGAGGATGAACAGACCTCTAAATTCCATTTCAACGATCCTAATGTCCAATACATCAACAGTGATAAGCCATTTCTTTCAAATAAAGAACATATTGAATTACCTCCATTACCTCCAAGTTCATTCTTTAGCTCATTAGATTCTAAACCAATTGATTCCAAATCTAAAAAAAGTTTCATCAAAGCATTCAAGAAATTGTTGAGTGATGATAGTGATTCTAAACAACCAAAGAAACAACAAATTAGACGTAAAATTTCAACACCTTTTGGATTCAATCATATTTCTCATATTGATAATAAAAGTGATCAAATAAATGTTTCAAAATTGAATGAATTACCAAAAACTGAAGATCAAGTTGAAATTACCAGGGATCCAACTAAAAGAGTATCAACTTCTGCAAAAGCATTTTGTACTTCACCTCAATTAACTTCACCAATGAAATCATCCACTACAAAACCAATTCCAAGATCTTTTTCTAATGCAACTTCATTAAATACAAGATCAACTTCATCACAATTATTTACAAGATCTGGTTCAATTTCAACATTGGCAACTTCTATAAGTTCAAGACCACATTCAAGAAAACCATCAATGGTTAATCAACCACAACAACAAACTCAACCACAACCAAGCCAACCAAGCCAACCACAACACGGTCATCAAAGTTCAACATCTTCAATAGAGAATTTGAAAAAATTAGAAAAAAATCAAATTCAAAAACAAACTTCAATTGATTATTCTTCATCAAATTTTAAATTCCCTGATAATCAAATCAATTGGGGTACACCAGATCCACAATCTGTATCACGTCAATCATGGATCTATGAAGAATCACCAAACGTTGCATCATCAAATTATTCATCTCCAAAATCAACATCATCACCAAATAATAGATCTCTAAAGACTTCCAAATCATCACCATATAATTTAAATAATTTTTCTTCACAATTAGATAATTCATTTACATCAAAACATGATATGAATGAATTAATTCAATCAATGGATGATTTTACAAAATTTTTCAAATCAAGTGAAAATCCTGATGAATTTGATGAAGATAATTTAAATGAAACTATTGCCTCTCTTAGAGCTGCAAAACATATTAGAGCTTCAAGATTATCATTACACCAGGATCCAAAATATTTATCATTCATTGAAGAATTTGAAAAAATTAAAACAAATTCAACAAGTTCTTATACTTCAGATTCAACTGATGGTGATTTAGTCTTAAAAGAATTAGAAGGTGAATTAAATAATGAAGATTCTAAATTAAATGAATTTGAATTAAACAAAATCAATAAAATTAATGAGGTTGAAGAAATTCAATCATTAAATTCAAATTCAAATTCTGAATTGATTTCTGAATCTTCTCCAAAACAATTATTATTACCTTCTGTTATGTAAGGTATACATTACAATACAATACAATACAAACCAAATACAATATAATCAACATTCGTTATGATTAATGCTCATGTTTCACTTTTTACGTTCGTTTAATGATCTGTTTTCACCCATTTCTTTACATTTCTTAACATTTCTTCAATTTCTTTTATTCTTATGGTTCCAATGTCTTTTTATTATTTATATGGAGTTTTCACTTTTTGTTTTTTCAATCATTGACAATTGATTTTATTTTATTTTATTTTATTTTATAACTTTTTAACTACAAATTTGTTTGGATTTCAAAGACGGATTTATATAGACTTTCATTTATTTATGTATTTTTAAATAACATTTCTTGTAGTGTAAACACTATTATTTGACATCAGGATTTGTTTCATTCTCTTCTTTATTATCTTGTCTATCCACCTCTTTATCCAATTTCTCAATCTTTTCTGATATTTGATCCAATTTATTTCTTAAATTAACTACTTCCACTATATGATCCAATCCTTTAATAAAATTTGATTGAGATTGACGTAACTGTAATGGAACTAAAACACCAAACATATTTATAGGATTATATTTCTTAACTTTAACTTCCTTCACCTTCTTCTCATCATTCTCTTTTTGCTTTCTATTCCTTATATTTCCAACTTTATCTTTATTTTCCTTTTTCGAAACATCATCAACATCAACAATCTTAAATTCTTCACCAATGGCAACTTTCCGTATAGCTTTCACTCTTTCATCCCAATAATCCTTACCGTATGGTTTACTCAAGCTATGACTGACATAATTAGCTCTAGATAATTGGATATATCCTTCTTTTAATTCATTATTTAATTGTTCTTGTCTTGTAGTATAATTATCTAATGTTTCCAAGTAATCAATGATTAATGCTTCTTTTGAACCAGTTTTTTCTGGGTCTGGTCTTTCGTATTGTGGGAATAAATCATCTGAGAGTTCTAATTGTGATAATTTCTCATTTAGTTCTGGTTCTTTAGACATTGTTTGGTGAATTGACTTATAATTGGTTTTAATGGGTATTAAATCTCGAATTTTAATATATGAAAAATAAAAACATCACCAAAATGAAAACAAAAACATCACCAAAACCATCAACATCAACAACTCAGACTTCAACTAAATAAACACACAAAACACACAAAACACACCATGTCCGACAGACTCACACAGCTCCAAATATGCCTCGACCAACTTGTCGAACAATTCTGTGCCACATTAAACTACGTTGACAAAAACCATGATTTCATACCAACAGAAGGTGAAGAACGTCTAGTGGATCCACAGGCAACTATAGCAGAACCAAAAGAATTTCAATCTACAATGAATGAATTATCGACAGATTTGATACTTAAGACAAGACAGATCCTTACATTGATAACGTCATTGCCTGGTGCTGGAGTTTCACCAAAGGATCAAATTTCAAAGATTAATGAATTACAAAATGAATTGAATAAAGTTGAACAGGAGAAAATTGAAAAAATAAGGCAAAAAGATGAATTATTAGAATGGTGTAATGGATTAATTACAGGGTTTTCAAAGGATTTAATTGATTCAAGAAGAAATTAGTCCAACTACGTCTTATAACTGCTGTACGAATTGAATATGTTTTTATTATACTAATACAATGGATTTATCTATACAATTGTTTTGTAAACATCACAATTATAACCCCAACTATCAACAGCTTTGGAATTTATACAAGATTCATAATCCCATTTAGTACCATATGTAACAGGACTTAAATTTGAATAAAAATAATAACCAAATAACAATGTAATTATGATTAAAATTTTTGATAATTTTGCTTTCTTGAAATTTATATATTCAAATGTAATACCAATCAATAAAATTCCAAAATATAATGATAATTCATAATATGAAGTGAAAAATTCACCTTCATTAAGCACATATGGGAAATAATGTAATCCCCAACCCAAAATTATCCAATTTGCATTGTTTTTATATTTGATACTATCTTCTTGATTATCAACTCTGAATAAATCTGCAATTCTAACGAAACCATAACTTGTTATAAGCATTATAACTAACCACCAATTGATTGGATTACCAATTAAATAAACATTTGTATCATCACCAACAAAATATTTAACACCTCTTATTAAAAATGGCCAAATTATTGCATCTGAAGAATTATGATTATTATGAGGTTTAATTGATTTGAAAATTCTCAACATTTTGGTATTTAATTCCACAAATTTTGTTAAGAATGATGGTTTAATATCTGATAATTTTTCAAATAATTCTGGATTTTCATTATAATCTATTGAATTTTTATCATATTTAATAGTTTCAAATATGAATAAAGCTCTTTCAACATTTGGTGATTCTATACATAATACTTCTTGTTGATTAAACCCCCAATCTGGTAATTTTAAATCATGACTCAATATGGTACATTTCTTTTTTTGATTCCATAATCTAAATTTTGTATTAACAGATTCAACAAAAGGTCTATTAGGATCTTCATTTTCAACTTTTAATAAAAATAAATCAGTTTCATTACCACTAAAAGTCTTATTACCAAAGCAACTAACTTCAGAATCATAATCTTGTTCAGTCATTGGTGGTTTAAAATTATCAACTCTTAATAATTTACCAGTGTTTTTATGTCTTAATTTAATAACAACATCATTTTTAACTCGTTTTTCTTGACCAACCACTGTATTATGAGGTTCAATAATCCATTCATTATTAAAATCTTTATAATCAAATATAGTAACTTGTTGATTATGTGAACCTGTTTTATAATTATAAGGATGTGAATGTAAAAACCCACCCATTGAATCCAAATGTCTTATAGTTACTGTTGATCCATAGGTAACATATTTAGGTATATCATATAAATCATTACCAGATAATGAACGTTGGAAATGAGTTGATAATAATGAAGAATCACGTGTAACATTATTCATTAATAATATATGAATTGCGAAAACACCTAAATAAATTATAATAGGTGATGCTAATAAAAATGTTAAACGTGCAAAGATATGTCTTGATATTTGTCCATTAGAAACTTGTAAATCACCAAATAAATACCATAATTGTTGTAATGATAATATACCAACCCATGCAATTGTTGAAAATGCAATCCATTTTGTTGAAATACCTAAACCCAGTGCTAACCCTGTTAATACTAAATATCTTGCCCAATCTTTGGAAAAAGGTTTTGTAATCTGAAATTTTGTAAATGAATAAACTGAAATACTTAAAATTAATAAAGATAATGATTCATTCATGAAAAATCTTGATGAAACAATGAATGAATTTTCCCAAATGATTAATAAACTTGTGAACACGGCCACTATGGATCTAACACCTAGATTTCTTAAAGTTAGGTACGCGAAACTAATAGTACCTGACCCTAAGACAGATGAAACAATTCTTAAATCAACATATGGGAAATCTGTACCTTGATAACTTTGACCTGCTTTAACCAATTCTGTAGCATTTCCATTATATCCCAAGATTTTAGCAACCAGTGTATAGAATATTTTACCAAATGGTGGTGTTATATCAAGGAAAAAGTTCCCATTTAAATAATCATTAATATGACGAACTATATGAATTTCATCAAATACAATTGAATTTAAATTTTCTACACCAATAAATCTTGTATAGAACCCCAAGACAGTTAACAAACCAACAAATATGTAGTCAATTTTATTAATTGAAGTTTCATTGATCAATTTTGATGTGATTTCTGTACTTAAATATGGTCTCTTGTTACCTTGTTTATAATTTGGTGGTAATTCATTTGGATTGGATTTTTTGGATATTGTTGGAGTTTTCACACCGGGTGGTACGATGATTTTCTTCTTGACCATTGTTATCCTTGGTTCCTTTTAGCAACTGAGATCAATTGATTAAAGCTGTTGAAGAAATGAAATATTTGTTGTTATTTTTGTTGATTGTTGATTGTTTCATTTGGTTACAATTTGCTGTCAAAAATCAAAAACTGGCGATCCATGTGGAAAAATAAAAGTCACGTGAAAATTTAGAGAGTCATGTGATTAGGGCCTCCAAAATCAAGAAATAATAAGCTCATATAAATTAATAAATTACTACAAAATACATAAAGAATATAAGTAATTTAATAAAATAGTTTCATAACGTCGTTAAATAAATGAGAATAAATGGAACAATAAAAACACAAAGCAATTGGACAGTTGGGGTTAATAATGATGGATATAAAGACCACCATCTTTTTCCTCTAATGCATTAATTAAATCTGCAACATCATCACTTTTCAAATCCCAACCTAATTTTGAAGTGATTCGAATATTTTTCAACATTGGTAATCTTTCCTCCAAGAGTGCAATTGTTAAATCATCTGGATGGATTTTAGCACCTTGTCCTAAACCACCACTTGATTCAATCCAAAGAGTTTTCAAACAACGAGGTTTATCACCTAGGATTGGTGGTAAAAAATCCTCTGAAAATAAATCTTTAGAACAATAATCCACTGTAATTTGTAAAAAAATTAAATTTGGACAATATTGGAATATATAATCCATGGAATTTTCAGTAAGTCCAGGCATTGGATATTGAATTGATAAATGAGTTAAATTTCTACCAAATCTTGATAATAACGAATAAACTGCAAATTCTTTTAAGGATGGACAATGAGCAAATTCTAATCTTGTTATTGATTTGGGTAATATAGAATTCATTATAAATTCATCTGAAACACCACCACTTAATCTTAAATACCAAATATTTGGTGGCCAAAAATTTTCAATTTCTAATTCTGAATTATAATTAATATCTTCACATGTAATTGAAGATCTTGGGAATGATAAATGAGTTAAATCTTTAGAATTTCTTATAGAATAAAACAATTCTTTTAAATTCATTGTTTCACTAACTAATCTAAGATCTAAAACTTTAATCTTGTTACAACCTCTTAAACTAACTAATGGTGCATAACCAAAACTTGTTTGTGGTGCAACGAAAACTTCTAAATTTTCTGAACATCTTCTTAATAATTTTGAAACATATGAATTTTTACCACTTTGAATTATAGTGGATAAATCTAAGATTTTAACATGTTTACCAACTTTATTCTTAATTGAACTTAAAGTATCAACAAATTGGAAAAAATTATAAGAATTCAAGATTGGACTATGATATAATATAGGGATATAAAGTTGATAAAATAATTTAGATACTCTTAAATATTTTGGATCAGTTTTAGGGATATATCTTAAGATTAATTGTAAAATTTCCACAGGTAAATGTAAACTTTTAACATTACCACCATTTTTTCCATTTTTGGTAAAAGTTATAGGAATTTCAATAAATTCACCATTTTTCAATTTTTCATTAATAATTGCAAATTTCAAAACATCAATTTTTTGAAATTTTGATATAGGCCATGAAGTTGAAGAGTAATCATCATAATTAATATTATTATAATGACTACTCTTCATAACATCACTTTGTTCGACTTCATCTTCTTCATCTTCATCTTCAGAGCCCATATGACCCTCTCCTGTGTTATTATTTCCGTTTTTGTTGATTGAACCAGGTCCATAACGTCTATATGGAACTCTTGCCTTCTTTGGTCTTCTCTTATTAGCCATGATGACAAACCAAATGCAAAAACCGAAAAACCTGTACTAAGCTAATACCAGTGGCAAATAGAGTGGTTGATTCTTCTGATTTGATAATGACCAGTTGTCCTTGTTGATTAAGCGTACTTTCCTGGATTCAAGTAGTTCAGTTAAGAAACTGTGTTGAATATCGATCTGAATCTTTAAGGATATCAATTGTTTAAAATTGTGATTTTGATATTATATAACGTTTCGCGGGAGTCGAATGTAATTAAGAGATTAGTCATTAACAAATGAGATGGTAAGGGCATGGATGGAATGTTGATTGACTAAATGGAATGTGATATAAGATGTATACAAATGTCAATCAATAGATCCATTTTGGATTTATTTGGTTGTGATTTGATATAAATTACTATTATTTGTATAATACTGGCTCTGTTTCAGGTAAATTTCCACATTTGGGAGTTTCTCGAAGGTTTATGTGATATATCACTTTTAAGTTAAAATTGTTGGTTTTCAATGGATTTTAATGGTTTAAATTGGAATGTATACTATATTGTGTACAAGGAAAGTATCTCAGCTCCTTTAATCAACCATATCACCAAGCTATACTGATATTTCCCACTATTCACATTGCTCATCGCATAACAAACGCGTAAATATTTTGAAAAGACACGAAATTTTCCAAAGTATACGCATCTCTCAGAGACAAAAACATATTATTCTTTTAAGACAATCCATTATTTTTTTATTATCGAATGATAAGGTTCAATTATATAAGACTAGGATTTCAACATATCAAAAGATCAAGATCATCACCTATTTCAAGCTTATTATTAAAACCTCATCCTTTTCAACATAGAAAACCCATTATGTCTGGTCAACGTGATATATTTTCAATGCTTTCAAAGCAAAAAAAAGCTGATAAAGATGTAAAAGTGAAAGAGAAACCTACTGAGAAGAAGGAATCACCTGTTAAAGCTGATACAACCAATAAATCCAAAAGTAGAAGTCCATCACCAAGTAGAAAGAAACAAAAAGTGGAAAAAAGTGAAGTTGAAGTTGTTAAACCAGTGGAATTGAAAGAAAATGATAAGAAACCAACCAAAGTTGAAGAAGAACTCATTGAAGAAGATTCAGATGAAGAACAAATCAAAGCTAGCTCTAGAAGAAACAAAAGTTCATCAGAACCAAAATCAGAACCTGAGTCTACCACTAAACAAGATGAAAACTCCGATAAAGATGAATTAGAGTATGATTCATCAACTGAACAAAAGGATCATGATGATATTCAAAAATTATCAAAATTAGAACCAACAAAATTAGAAACAAAACTAGCTGAAAAGAAACCAATTCCATACGCTGCTGTTGTGGAAATTTTCGAAAAAATTGAATCAACAACAAAAAGACTAGAAATTATTAAATATACTTCAGATTTCTTCCTCAAAGTTTTACAAACAAATCCAAATGATTTGATCCCAATAACGTATCTTTTCATCAATAGATTAGGTCCAGATTATGAAGGTTTAGAATTAGGTCTTGGTGAAACCATTTTAATTAAAACAATTAGTGAAAGTACTGGTAAAAATACTCAACATGTTAAAGCCAAATATAGAGAAATTGGTGATTTAGGTACAGTGGCATTACAAGCTAGATCTGTTCAACCAACAATGTTTAAACCAAAACCTTTGACTGTTGATACTGTTTTTGATAATTTGAAACAAATTTCTAAAGCTTCTGGTAAAGATTCACAAACTAAAAAAATTAACATCATTAAGAGAATGTTAACTGCTTCACAAGGATTAGAAGCTAAATTCTTGATTAGATCATTAGAATCAAAATTAAGAATTGGTTTAGCTGAAAAGACTGTATTAATTTCATTAGCAAAAGCTCTTGCAACATTTGAACAATTAAACCAAGGTAAAAAACAAGAACGTATATCACCAGATTTATTTATTAAAGCTGAAGAAGCTATAAGAGATGCATTTTGTCAAGTACCAAATTATGAAGTATTAATCAACACAGCAATTGAACACGGTGTTTTGAAATTAGGTGATCATTGTACTTTAAAACCAGGTATCCCATTGAAACCAATGTTGGCAAAACCTACAAAATCTGTAGGTGAAGTTCTTGATAGATTTAATGGTGAAGAATTTACATGTGAATATAAATATGATGGTGAAAGAGCCCAGGTTCATCTTTTAAATAATGGTGAAGTTAAAGTTTATTCAAGAAATTCTGAAGATATGTCACAAAGATATCCTGATATTATTGATAGTGTTAAAGGTTTCTTGAAACCAGATCAAGATACTAAATCATTAATTTTAGATTGTGAAGCTGTGGCATGGGATAGAGTTGATGAAAAGATTTTACCATTTCAAGTCCTTTCTACAAGAAAGAGAAAAGATGTCTCTACTGAAGATATTAAAGTTCAAGTTTGTCTTTTCGCTTTTGATATGTTATGTTATAATGATGAACCATTAATTTCCAAACCCTTAAGAGAAAGAAGAAATCAATTATATAAAGTTTTAAATCCAATCCCAGGGAAATTCCAATTTGCAACAAGTAAAATAACTTCAGATGTTGATGAATTACAAACTTTCTTAGATGAATCTGTTAAAAGTGCGTGTGAAGGTCTTATGGTCAAGACATTAGATTCTGATCCATATAGACCAAGTCAAAGAAGTAATTCATGGTTAAAATTGAAAAAAGATTATTTAGAAGGTGTTGGGGATTCTTTAGATCTTGTTGTTATTGGTGCTTATTATGGTAGAGGTAAAAGAACAGGTACTTATGGTGGATTCCTCTTAGCGTCATATAATCAAGACTCTGGTGAATATGAAACTTGTTGTAAAATTGGTACAGGTTTTTCAGATGAAATGTTGAAAACATTATATGAAAAATTATCCAAGACAGAAATTGAAGATCCAAAATCAGAATTTACTTTTGATTCAAGTGCAGAACCTGATGTTTGGTTTGAACCAAGTACGTTATTTGAAGTGCTTACAGCTGATTTATCATTAAGTCCGGTGTATAAAGCAGGTGCTGAAGTGTTTGGAAGAGGTGTTTCATTAAGATTTCCTAGATTTTTGAGAATTAGAGATGATAAATCACCAGAAGATGCTACTTCAAGTGATCAAGTTGTGGAGTTTTATGAGAGACAATCAGCACAACAGTAATGAGCTCATTCTAATCCACTTTTAAATAGAAATGTACAAAGATTTATGGAAATTTGCATGTAATTTTATGTAATTTGTATGTGAATATTCCATCTTTATATGGTTTCTGCCCGAACCGATTCTGGACTTCTCCCGCGAAATACCAAAATCAAAATCACCAACCATTGTGAAGACACCAAAACTTCAAAGAACGGAGAACATTAGAAGGCTAGAACACTAGGTTAATGATGTCAGTGGTCAAGAGTGAACAAGATAAAATGGATGTGGATACTATAAATGGAGAAACACCAAAAACAGAAAGTCGAATAACGAAGAAATCAAAGAATTATGCGTATGTGCTATGTTTTATTTGTTTCAATTGAATCATATACTAACTAATTAATTAGACAAATGTATGAAAAACTATCAACTAAATATTCTAAAGTGATAGAAGAATCAGAAGGAATGTTTGTCAAATATACAGATCTAAGGAAGGATTATATCTCATTATCAAATAAAATTGGCTCATTAACTGATATTTTAAGTCTTATTGATACATTACATGAACATGAATCTGATATAAGTGATGATAAAGAAAGAATTATAAACATAATATCTAAAAAACCAAACTTAGAAAAGATCTTAACACCAATAATATCGAATGATGATGAAGAAAGTTATACCAAGGAGTTTAAAGATTTTTATTCATTAAATGATTTATCTATTCATTTATTTCAAGATCGTAATGATCAAGATTTAATCAAAAACACAACCAAAAAGCTTAATGGTGAGGGAACAAAGAAAAGAAAAGGAAGTATAACTAATGAAGATCATGTTAAAAAGAGAAAAACAGCGGATTGAAATCAAATTCAAAATAAACTACAATGTAATCTATGATAAGGCAAAGCAAAAATAGTTTCATTAGCTAGACAGGAAAATGGGTATTTCATATCAAAAAAAAATTGTATAATAAATAAAAGTAATATTTTGTTTTCTTCAAACTCTTCCTTTAAATCTATCCAAGAAAAATTCATGATAATTCATAATATATTGAGCAACAATATGACCAGCTCTTTTTTTATTAGTTGAAGTAGCTTTAGCAATTGGATGATTTTCAATATAACAAGTCACTTGAACATCTGAATTATTTAATTTAGCAGTTTTATATTCAGCAGTACCGATTCTTTTCTTGATTAACATTTGATTTAATTTTTCTTTTGATGATGTATCAATCTTTAATTCATCTTCTACAATTGGTGCTTCTAAAATGTTTGCTTCGGCTTCTAATTGTAATCTTTGATATTCTTCATTAATAACAGCTTGTGGGAAAACCGCTGTTGGATTTTCTGGATATGGATTTGAAGCTTTTTGGACTTGATTTATAATTGGTCCACCTCCACCATTAACTGCAGAAAATTGTTGTTGTTGAGATGGTAGAGGTTGTGGTGCATGTGGTTGTGGAATAGTTTGTTGAGGTTGAGGTTGTGGTTGAGTTCTTGCAAATCCTCCTGCGATTGGAGTATGTGGATGTGAAGTTTGTCCTGGTATTGGTTGTGTTGTTGTTGGAAATTGAGATTGATGTGCTTGTGCAGGTGATGGATTTGAATGTGAATTTGAATGTGAATGTGAATGTGAATTTGATCCAGGATTTGTTGTAAATGGTGATGGTGAATGTTCTTTTGATCTTTTTGCTTGTTCACTCAAATCAATAGCTAATTGTTTTAAAACTGGATTATATAAAACTGCTGAAGATGCTTTTGTCTCTGCATCAAATTTAGCACTTGCACTTCTTGTACTACCCGCCAATGGATGATCACCAGCTTTTATACAAACTAAATATTGTGGATGATGATGATTACTTTTAAATAAAAGTTCAAATTTCAAATCACCATTTAAAATAAGTTTTAAATCTTCAATTGCATTAAATTTTAATGGATCTGAACTTTCAAATTGTGATAATAAAGGTTCAATTAATATGGTTATCCAAGTTTTCAAATTCAATTCATAATTCTTATCATTAAATGGAATTAATGAAACTAATCCACCTAAATATGCTAAAAAAACTTGATCTGCACTATAAGAACCATCAACTATTAAATTATAATTCAGCGCCCACTCTTTGAAAATTTTCTTATTATTTGTATGATAACTCAGCAGTTTTAAATTTCTATCATCAAATCTTTGTATAAGATATTCATTAACAATTTTATTATAAAAAGATTCACCCATATAAGCTAAAGTCTCTAAATCTGTATTTGATTGAATTTGTTTTAATAAATCATCATCATCAATTTCAATTATAGGTGGTAACCAATATTCACTTTCTTTTAAAAAATTCACAATCTTATCATGATCTTTCAAATCAATACCTTCTTTTTTCTTATAATTTAAAATTTTCTCAAATAAATCAAAATCAGCATTTTCAGATTGATCCCTTAAATGAATCCCTAATTCAACATCAGGATTCTGTAATTGATATAATAATTTTTGATCATTAGTCTCTTGAATAATTTCTTTTAATTGATTTGAAGTTGGCGCATCAGAAATAATATTAACAGCAGAAACCAATAAACTAGTATCAAACCCAATTGAATTAATATATTCATCCGTATATCTCTCTTGGATCTCCATCTCTCTAGCTTTCATCACTTGAATAATATACTTGTAAATATCACCATCTTTCACAAATGGTGATTCTTCTTTCTTGATCTCTTCATCACTTGTAATACTTTCATCAAATTCTTCTTGTTTAACATCATCTTCAAATTGAACTTTTTCATCAACAGGGTATTGATGATAATTATAGTCTTGGTATTGTTCGTAATCAGTCATATTGATACCCTGTTCAATTCCCTTATAATTTGATTTGACTGAACTATGGGGGTTTGCTATTGTTATTCAAATTTGTTCCTTATGTTACATTTAATTAACGTCAATATGGATCAAATTCGCGTTTCTATCCAGTTCTATCCATTCGAGTCCCTTCAGATGCGCTTTTATGGATTTACAAAAATTGACACATAATATATCAATTCGTTAAATTGTTTTCATTATCATTTTCATTATATTAGCAATTATATATATTCATAGCAGTTGTCATAAATTCGTTATTCTTTTCTTTATATTCTATCTAGCAAAATTAAGTGTAATCATAGCAGTTTTCATAAATTCGTTATATTTCTTTTTTCATATGTAGATTCATGTTGAATTTTTTCTTATTCCAGATTCAATATGAAGTTCATTTCGATCTTTAATATCTTTATGATCTCTATTCCTAACTTCCAGTTCATGTTGATCATCTTTGATACCAGCTCTAGAGACCAAAATATCCAGAATACCTAATAATACAAAATAAATGATTTTCAAAACATTAATAGGGATATGACTTATAATAAACCATGTGAAAGATTTGAAAGCAAATGGAATATTAATAACATATTCCACAATTGGTCTTGAACCTAAATTAAATTTGTTTAAGGCATCTAAATTTGATAATTCCTTCATTGTTATCTCTGCATCAAAGATGTCTTGATCTTGAGTTGTTGACCTATCTTGGAATGGATTCAGAATTGGAATTAAAGAAGTTATTTTAGATAAAGGGGATGGTAATTGTTGAGTCAGTTTGGTATATTGTTCAAATGGGAGAATTGAAGGTGGAGATGGTGGATGATATGATGGTGATTTAGGTGATAATGGAATTCCATGGAGTGAAGCATTTGATTGATGGTTTTGGATTTGTGGTGTTGTAAAACTATTTGATGGAATTGGTTGGAGGTTTTCCTTTTCATATTGATGATGTTGTTGTTGATTGTTATCAAAAGATTGTGTTGTGGTTGATGAAGTTGTAATTATGGAATGGATTTTAGAATCTAAATCATTTGTTCTAGTATGGATATTATAATGTAATTCATTAATTTCCTTTTCCAAGATCTTGAAATGTTTGGAAGTTAATAAAGTCATATTGTTTTCAATTATAAATTTATTATTATTGTAAAAAATCTCAAATTTTTTAGACATTTGATTCATTTGTCTTTCCAATATAGTAATTCGATCTAATAATTGAACATTTTGATTAATTTCTTTATGTCTTAATTCAATATCTAAAGAATTGAAATGATTATGTTCAGAGATGAATTTTTCAGTTTTAGATTCAATTGAAGCAGTTGATTGTTGAATATGTTCAGAAATTTGAATAACAACTCTTAAAATTCCACAACTAACGAAAATACCTATATTTAAATCTGAAAAGATTAAACTTTGATCATTCCCATCATCATTCCCAATAATTATAATATAATCTCTTGCAAATAATAATAAAAATCCACTCAAGAATGGTGAACCAATACACATAATCAGTGCACAAAATTGTTGAATTTTCAAAATTGTTAAATTTTGAATTGTGATTTTTTGGAAATCTGATTGATCTTCTTTTGTTGATTCTAATAAAGTATATAATTTTTGTTTTATTTCATTAATTTGACCATACCATTTCCATGGCCAATCTAATAAGAATTTAATCATCCAACAAATCAATAAAATAGAGAAGAAATCAATCAAAATATTTGATGGATTATTTTTATGATCACCAATTTCTAAACGACCAAATTTAATAATTTTTGGGAAAAAAATTTTAAGTAATTAAGGTAAAAAAATTATTAAAATTGGTAATAATTTAACCATATATTGATAATGAATCTTAGCTCTTGAATTAAAAGCTTGACTTAATCTTTCAAAATCTGAATAAAATGAATTTGATGATATTTCTGATCTTGTACCAGTTGAAATATTCGAATCTGATATGAAACTTGAATCATTCAAATCTTGAAGATATTGATCAACTCCATTAATAATTGGTTTTAAAATAGGTGAAGTTTTAAGAGGTGAACCTGAATTTTTCCCATTTGGTGATCTCTTAGATTTTCCATGTTTTAACTTGGTTTTTGTAACAGCATTGAACTTATCGTCCACCATCTTTGGAAAGTATATCAACTATGGGGTACTTTGACACAATCTAATCAAATCAAACAAACAAGATTGAACCAACAATAAACAACCAACGACTAAACCACCAAATAAATCTATTCTCCAATAGAATAGCACAACAGCCCCCTATGACCCAACAACTGACAAAGAGTTCTGAGTTAGAAATCCCTTCGAACTTCTTCCAAATCAATACAATTCTCATTGAGCGCTTAATTTACTTCAGATTCGAAAACAATAAACAGGGAAAAACAATAAAATTGATCATAATAGTATTAACGCCCTAAGCAAACTCACCTGACTAGATATAACATCCCAACACCTTTTGTACCCTTTTTCGCTCCTTGTTTCTTTTTTCAGCGGGGAGTTTTTTAATCTCGCGCATTTTTGTATAGTAAAATTGCTATGGTTTCAATTTTGCGTGACTGCTTTTCCATGTTGATCTGCAGATTTTGCAGATTTTTCGTCTTTTTCATGAAAATTTGATTAAAGGGTATTTTGAAAGGTACAATCAAGTCAGTATAATACAGATTATCCAACAGAATATCAAATATTAGTACAAAATGGTACGTTTAAACTATTGGGGATCATGAAGAACAAATCAAATTAGCATTGTATCAAAAAACTAGACATTGGAAAGATTAAAATTGATGGATTTTGCCACTTTGAAGATTGGATTGCATAGAAATTTGAAATCAATAATTAAAATTAAAGGAATTTTATCAAAATAATAATCAAGAATCAATCAAATCATAAGGAGATGATAATAGAGAGAATAAGGAACATGATGATACCATTTTCATCCATTCATTATATCAATTAAACCTTGTTTTAAGTGGATCGTAGTTGATTGTCCACTATAAAAATAACTTTTCATGATAAATTTGTAAGAGAAGATTAAGAAATGATTATGATACAAGGTACCCCCTGTCAGTTTGAAATTACAATGCTAATTTGGTTGTTGGTCCTGTTTTTTTTTTGATGTTTGATGATCATATATACTAACAAATTTTACAGGTTTTAGTTCAAGATTTATTACACCCATCTGCTCAATCAGAAGCTAGAAAACATAAATTAAAACAATTAGTTCAATCTCCAAGATCATACTTCATGGATGTTAAATGTCCAGGTTGTTTAAACATTACAACTGTTTTCTCACATGCTCAAACTGCTGTTACTTGTGATTCATGTACCACTGTTTTATCTCAACCAACTGGTGGTAAAGCTAGATTGACTGAAGGTTCTTCATTCCGTAGAAAATAGATTTATTCATTTTGAATGAATATTTATTTTCAATTTACAAAGGGGACGGTAAAATACAATAAAAAAAAAGAAAAAAAATAAAGAAAAAGGAAGAAAGAAGAGTTTTAGGTCATGAATGTTATGTCTGGTTTTGTTACCACTTTGCTTGTCGTTGTGTTTTTTTGCAATTGATAGATATTGGGCTTTGTTATCGTTTTTGGTTCTTGTATATTAGTATTTATAATATAATTTAAAAGTACAAACAAGGTGGATGTAGTGATTATTTATCGGTTTAAAATGGTTTAAAATGGTATAAAAACGTAGTAACTTGGACAGTTTATCATGATTATTGAAATACACAAGATTACCTTATAAGGCAACCAATTACAACAAGTTAAACTTCATTATTTTAGTCTAAAACTAAATCTTATCTATGTGTCAGCTATGCGTCGCGAACCGATTCTATTGTTTTTGTTTTGTGGTTTTCGCGTTTTATAAAGTTTAGCTTATCGGCTCGAAACCACACCAGTCAAAGAATCCATTTAACAAACAAGACAAGTTCATCAAAGGACTGGGAATCCATCAGAAAAGGATCCCTTCATCAGCTCACTCACTACAGCAAACACGCACACTCACACTCACTACAAATATGGAACACAACAACAAAAAACTCGGTTTATTAGATTGGTCTTTATCTTGGTTCTATGGTCCAGGGGCGCAAACTTCAAAACACGAAACTAATAATCAACAACAACAAATCCAATCTTCATCAGAAACTAGAGATCATGGTGCTAATAGACGTCAAGTCCTTGTGGTGCAAGAAAACCAAGAAGATCCAGAGTTTTTAGATGTCACTCCTCAATCATTATCTTATGCTGAAGCCGCTTCAATGGCAATTCAAGATGATCATAAAGATGCAAATAATAACAACAACAAAACTGATGGTAATGATCATATTGTGGATTCTAATGATTTGGAAGCTGAAGTTTTGGATTATCAAATGTCTGAATTCATGAAACGTAAAATTAAATATCAAAATTATGTTGCTTCAAATTATGATTATAATAGAGATTTGTCATCTTCGACTAAATTTAATGACGAATCTCTGGATATTGAAGAAGTTTTATATAATGATAAACATCATAGACGCTCCAAAAAGACTAAGTTCCTGAAAAAGGGTAAGAATTAAATGACTGGTAAATGGTTGATTCATTGATTGGTTGGTTTTTTAGTAAATGCTTTTTATGGTTTTATGGTTTGATATGATCTATTGATGTGGTGGTGGTTTTTTTTTAAAGAAATCAAAGTGGGTTATATTTTCATATGTTATATTCTTTCAAATACAAATACAAATACACTAATTTTTTTTGAAATCAAATTTGAGATCCTAATGTAGAAACAATTTCTTCATAAATCATCAACATTTTTAGATTTAAATTTTCTACCAGATCTATCAGGTGCTCTATATTGGAATCTTGATCCAATAATTGAAAATTCTAAGTAATTATCATCATTATCTTCAACTTCTTCTTGATTTAAATCATATAACGGAATAACAAAACTGAAAACTGTACCTTTTTTCTCAATCATTTTCAATCCACCAATAGATTTTGGATCCTTTTCATCTTTTGGTTCCACAATAATAAAGAAATTTTTGGCATCATAAATAATAATCCCATTCTTACCTATAATATCAGAATTTTTACTTTTCAAAACTCGTATAAAACATCCATTAAAATCTGCAGATGATAATTTAACTAAAACTTGTGGAATTTGAATAGGTTTTTTGGAAACCAAATCTAATTGTAAGATATCTTGGATATAACCAATCCATAATTCATTTAATTTATAAAATTCTTCAATATGTGGGATTTCCTGGAATTCTTTAAGTGTTGAAACATCATTAATTTGAAATTTTGTAATCTTAGTTTTCAAAGTTTTTTGTAATTTTATACATTTCCTTATATATTTCTTGAATACAACTTTAGTTTGATCCTTTTTACGTTCATTTTGATATTGAGTCTTAGATTGACGTAGTTTTGTTAATAATGTTTGTTGTTTCTCTTTTTCACCTTCTGTTGGTCTTAAAAGTAATGTTGGTTTATCGTTTGTTAGGTAACGTTGTTCCAGGAGTTCATTGATCTTTGTGGATCCTTCATAGGATCTTGATAAAATAAGTGATTCCAATGGGTATTTTCTGTCCATCGTTGGTTGGTTGGTTGTTGTTGATGTTGTTGATGATGGTGGTTTACTGGGTGTTAATTATACTGATGAAATTTTTTTTTATATGTCAAAAAATCTGAAAAATATCGAGAAGATCAACAACACCAAAAAACACAGAATTATACGAATTTGACTATCTGGAAGTAACCAAATGTTAAGAATAAACACACTGTCAAGTGTGATACGAAGATACTCAATTCGTTCGATCCCATTCACAAAAGAAGATCTGAAAGGAGATGATAAATACAAAGATCTAAATGATCATTATTCAGATTTGTTCACTTCGGAAGAAACTCAAGTCTCTTCAAAATCAAAAGAAAATTCATTGAGTGATGATATTGCTGAGATTAATGCTGAATTGAATGAATTGTATGGTGTTGAGTCTCCAATAGAGGTACAGAATGTGGAGCAAAGGGAACAAAAACCTCAAGAATTTCCAATAAAGGAACAAGATATACACCATGATATTCAGCAAGATATACAACAAGATACTCAACCAATTCCAACTTTGAAAAAAGAATCATTATTAGACAAGATAAAATCAAATACACCTAAGATATTCATATCAAAATCAAATAACCCATTTTTGAATTTAGCAATGGAAGATTATATATTCCAAAACACACCAGTCACAAATCCTTTCAAAGCCCAAAGATTAATATTCTATACAAATACACCATGTGTCGTTATTGGAAAAAGTCAAAATCCATGGAGAGAAACGAATTTGCCATACTTGAATTCAGTGGGTATTCCAGTACTAAGGAGGAATTCAGGTGGTGGTACAGTGGTTCATGACTTGGGAAATGTTAATTATAGTTTTATAAACTCCAAGGAAAGTTTCTCAAGAACATTTTTCGGTAGTGTTATCGTTAAAGCTGTTAATAAACGTTATGGTTTTGAAAAATTGGCACAAAATGAAAGAGGTGATATCATTATGGCATTGGATAAAAAAAAAATTAGTGGTAGTGCTTTTAAAGTTACTAGGGGGAAAAGTTATCATCATGGTACAATGTTATTGAATTCTGATTTGGCGAATTTGAAACAGGCATTAAATAAAAGACAAAGAACTGGGATAATGGAATTTGAATGTAGATCAGTTGATAGTGTTCCTTCACCTGTTGATAATTTAGGATTACCAAATCATGATTTCATTGAAGTTGTATCAAAAGCTTTCCAAAAAATGTATGAAACTCCTGTAGAGATTGTTGAAGTTGATGAATTTCATAATGAAGAAATTTTAAAAATTGCAGAAAATTTAAAAGATTGGAAATGGAGATTTGGTTCAACTGGTTCTTTTAAATTAAAATTAAATCATCAAGAATCTGGAACTTTAATTGAGTTTCATGTGGAAAAGGGAATCTTGAAAGATTTTAAAACAAATAAAGAATCTGATTTTGAATTCTTGAGAGAACAATTAACCCGTGGTTTAGAGTTGAAGTTTAAAAGTGATGAGTTTGTTAGGTTTATTAAAGGTGATTTGTATGAATGGATTGGTAATCAAATTGATGGTACACATTAAATTTGATATAGACTACATGTATAAAACTTGTAAATATGTATGCATTAATGACTTATAAATATGAATATGAATTAAAATATATTATTGTAGTTCAAAATTGGTTATTTATCCCATGATGGTTTAATAGATTTCCCAATTTCCACAAAAGTTTCCAATTTAGTATTATTAACTTGTTTACCAATCCAAAAGATTCTAAATTCACTATCTTCAAGACTTAAACTACCATTAGATCTTTGAAAATACCATCCATTAACAGGGTTTGTCTTTTTAGATCTCCATAATAAAACTTCACGATAATCTCTTTTTAAAATGTTTACAATTATATCTGCAATGTTTAAAGAACCTTGAGTTTCTCTTGAAACGGCAAATTTATCTAAATAGGGAACTGATTCACCTGTCTTGGTAGATTTTTCATTTGTTATGATTGCAATACCATCATAATCACCAACTATTATGATTTGGGATAAGATTGGTTCCACTCTTGAAATATAATGATCCAAATTTATTGATCTTTTAAACGAAGTATCAATCAAATGTTTAAATTTTAATAAATCAACATCTTTGAATGTCTTGAATGTATTTATTTTCAATCCCTTCCGTATTATAGTAGTTTTGGAAACTTTTTTATGAACATCTTGTTTATCATTCAATTTTGTTGTTGGTAATGATGAACTAATTAATGAACGATCTGTCAAGATGTTATATATGATTGGATTTAAATTGAGATTTTCATTTGCAATTTCTAATGTTGTAATTATACCTGTAACATCATCAGGTATGGTATCCAAAATATCTTTAATATTCTCCAAATTGTTAACATGAATATTTTTATCATGAATTGTTAAATGACCAATGTTTAATTCTGAAAGGATACGATCATATTCTTGATTTAAGTTGATATAAACATGTGAATTATTTGATCTTTGCATACTTGGAATCCCACCCAATTTATCAATAAATACCAATTTTTCCACTGTCAACACTGGAGTTTCAGGTTTATTAATCTTGATCAAATTTGTAATGAATTGTTTAAGATAATCAGTTGATTTCAAAATAACTTCTTTACCATTTTGTTTATCAAAGACATATGGAAATACCACTGGTAATTTTCCTTCCTTCAATGGGTTAACAATCGCATTTGGTATATCCAATGAAAATTCATCTTGTGATCTAGTTAATAAGCATCTAAGTGGAGAAATTTGAAGTATGTTTTTCTCACCAAGACATTTATTTAAATGATCAAATTGATTAAAAAGATAATTATCAACACTTCTAAAATTTAATCCAAATCTTTTATCCAAAAAATCAGGGTCAATCAATATTAATGGACTTGCTCCTAATTTTTGTATATAATCCAATGTTTTTTTAAATTTTTTCAAATCAGCTTCATCATGATGTAATACATTCCCTCTCAATTTGAAAATAACAATCCTTAAAGGAGAGTCAGCATCATTACCATTACGTGGTTTACTGAAAGATGAATATTTGTTCAAATAATTGTTTGTTTCTCTTCTTGTTGTGGTGAGCTTTAAAATTGATAGCATTAGCTCTTTATTATCGTTTGAATTTTGCTTCAAATTGTTCTCAAAGCGCAGAGGCCCCGTAGATAGCAGTCTCCTGAGCACAACTCTACCATTACGCAGCATCATGACACTCTTCTAACCCTTTTAAAACCCTTCAATCTCTCTGAAAATTCTGTCCATTCAATCGATTCTTTTCAGTGAGTATAAAAGATTAAATTTTTGAATCACTGGTAAACGCACATCTTCACGAGAAAGA